AAAATCTTACATTTGCTCCCCAAATGGCCCTCAACAGCCAGATCCAGCTCAGGCCAAAGCCAAGAGCCAGGAGCTCCATCCTGGTCTCCTACATGGGTGGGAGCCATTATCCACTGCCTTCCCAGGTTCATTAGCAGGAAGCCGGATAGGAAGTGAAGCAGCTAGGACTTGAATTAGAGGATGCTTGCTTTACAGGCAGCAGCTTAACCCAATGCCACAATAGTAGCCCCTATAATTTTCTCCTGATCACAGTATTGGGTTTAAAATTTATCATTGCATTCAAGTGTCCCTGTTTATGTTACAGCCAGTGGCGATTCTGTCTTTATCTTGTACTATTTAGCAATATGTGTGCTGTAACTGCCTTCCTCACATGACTCAAAGGGTTCCACACCCTCGGTTTTCCTCTTACCTCACTGATTGCTTCTTCAGAACTTCTGTGGTTTCCTCCTTGCTCTTGTCTGACTGTATGTCTCCTCAAAGCTTATATGTTGAAACCTAACCCCCAGGGTTATAGTATTAAGAGGTGGGGCCTTTGAGAGGTAATAGGTCATAAGGGCAGAGTCCTCATAAATGGGGTTAATGCCCTTCTAAAAGACAAAGGAACCTATAGTGCCTTTCATGTGAGGATGTAGCTATAAGGCACCATCTTAGAAACTTAGTCCTCACCAGATGTCTAATCTGATGGCGCACAGACCTTAGACTTCCCGACCTCCAGAACTGTGAGAAATTAATTTGTTTATAAATTACCCAGCTTAAGGTATTTTGTTATAGCAGCCCCAATGGAGTAAGAGATTCCTCTCCCAAATATCTTAAGTTGGAATTCCCAACTTAGAGCTATTTTTCTTTATACACTATTTCAGATATTGCTCTGGACATTCTCAGGGGAAGATGTCCTAAATTACTACCTCTTACTTTCACTTATCATTGCTCCTAGAATAAGCTCTTTCTAGACAAGAGTCGTAGGCTCAGTGACTCCAGGAATAGGAAACTAATAGTCAGACAACAGCTTGGTTTCTTTCAATGGCAGCCTTTCAAATGTGTGTGATACAGTTTCTCATTGTGGTTTTGATTTGTGTCTCCTTCAATGACAGTGATGCTGAACATCTTTTCATATGCTTTGTATATCTTCTTTGGAGAAATGTCTGTTCAAGGCCTTTCTGAATTGGGTTTTGTTATTGTTGGGCTATAGGAATTCTTTGTATATTCTGTATAACCCCTATAAGATAGACACATAGCAAATGTTTTCCATACTGCAGGCTGTCTTTTCACACTCTTAGTAAAGGCATTGTTTACTATTGAGTGTTGAAACTTTACTACAGATAGATGTCCTCTGTCAGACACGTGGTTTACAAATAGTTTCTCCCCATCTATAGTTTATTTTTTTTTAAGATTTTATTTATTTATTTGAAAGGCAGAGTTACAGAGAGGTGGAGGTAGAGAGAAAGAGAAGTCTTCCATCAGCTGGTTCACTCCCCAAAGGGCCACAACAGCAGGAGCTGGGCCAATCCGAAGCCAGAAGCCTAGAGCTTCTTCCCGGTCTTCCACTGGGAAGCAGGGGCCCAAGCACTTGTGCCATCTTCTACTGCTTTCCCAGGCCATAGCAGAGAGCTAGATCAGAAGTGGAGCAACCAGGACTTGAACCGGTGCCCATTAGGGCACCGCAGGTGGGGTCTTTAACTGCTGTGCCATAGCACAGGCCCCTATAATTTGTCTTTTTATCTTAACAGGATTTTTCACTAAGGAAAAGTTTTGAAGATTGATTAAACTCAATTTATCCTTCTGCTTTGGGGCTCATGTCAAAGAATTCCAAGCCCTGGGTTTTCTCCTATGTCTCTTCCAGAAGTTATGGTTTCATGTTTTATAGTTAAATCTATGGTCTACTGAGGTATTTTTCCATTAGGTTTGAAGTTTATGTCACGATTTGGTTTTTGCTTAGGGGATATCCAATTGTTCTGGTACAATTGGTTGAAAAAGACTATCAGTTATAATTGTGTAGGTCTATTTCTGGGTACTGTAATCTGCTATACTGATATGTCTATTCCTCTGCCAATACCTCTCTATCTTGATTACTATGGTATATAAGTACTACATTTTGGTAGAACGATCTCTCCCATGTAATTCTTCCTGTTCAGCATTTTAGTTATTCTGATTTATTTTCCCTCCTATATGAATTTTCTAAAAGTGTTGGCAGCATCTGAGAAAAACAAAATTTAAGAATGTGCTGGGATTTTAATAGGAAATGCACTAGGTCTGTGTATCAATTCATGGATAATTAGCATCTGTACTATGTTGAATCTTCCACCCCATGAAAATTGTCATGTAGATTTCCTTTGCTTTCTTTCATAAATGTTTTGTTGCTTTCAGCATGTGTCATGTACATGTTGTTAGATTTACACCTCAAGAGTTTTGACTTTGAGTCTTTATCAATATTATATTTTTAGTTTGTGTTTCCATGTGTTTATTGCTAGTATAAAAAAATTAATTTTTATCTATTTTTTTTTTTGACAGGCAGAGTTAGACAGTGAGAGAGAGAGAGAGAAAGGTCTTCCTTTTTCTGTTGGTTCACCCCCAAAGTGGCCACCACAGTTGGCATGTTGCGGCCGGCGCACTGCGCTAATCCAAAGCCAGGAGCCAGGTGCTTCCTTCTTGTCTCCCATACGGGTGCAGGGCCCAAGCACTTGGGCCATCCTCCACTGCTTTCCCAGGCCACAGCAGAGAGCCGGACTGGAAGAGGAGCAACAGAACAGAATCCAGCGCCCCGACCGGGACTAGAACCCAGTGTGCCAGCGCCGCAGGCAGAGGATTAACCTAGTAAGCCACGGTGCCGGCCATAATTTTTATCCATTATCTTGTATCCCAAGACTTTACTGAACTCTCTGATCAATTCTACAATTCTGTAGATTCCTTGTGATTTTTTAAATATGTTTTTCATTTCATTTTCAAAAAGTTCATTCAAAAACTTTAGATTCTTTGCCTTGAGCCAGGTAGTATACAAACAGCTAGGTATGGAGATTATCAAGAAAATTTTCTTAACATCACAAAGCTTCAATTCTAGAGGGCAGAAAAAGACTAATCAAATAAATAATAAATAAATTATTAAGTAACAGTATTATACAATGTCGCTCCCCCTCTTCGTGGAGGAATGACACAGGACCCTGTGCTGTTCTTTCGTCTGCTCGGCCCTCCCCGGGTTTGCTGCTGGTTCTTCCCGGGTTGGCTACTATCCCTTCCACCTCCGTGGAAGGGCAGTTCCCCCTGGCCGCATTCCCCACTTCCGCAGGGGAGCGGCACACCGCCGGCCGGGTCTCTCGGGGGCTGCACGGGTGTTCCTTCAGCTAGATGTTCCCCATAGATGTTCCTGGTGCATGCCGTCTCTCTCCTCCTTTATAGTCCTCCTCCGCCAATCCTAACTCAGCTGCCCACACGCCGAGTACGCTGCTCTCCAATCAGGAGCAAGTCCTACAGTTTATTAGTTGAACTGGAGGCAGCTGTGCGGAAGCTGTTTACTTCTCTCCCAGCGCCATATTGTGGGAGAGCAGATGCATAGAATAAGTCCTAATTCGAGTAACTTAGTCTAGTCCGGATTGCTCCCCACATACAAGAATGGTAGACAGTCTGTAAATGACTCCCTGAAGAGATTACTGGGTAGACACTTAAATTTTAGGAGTCAGAAAACAAAGTTCAAGTACAAAAGCCCTAACACCTGAAAGAGTTCACTTGAAGAACCATAACATGGCCAATGTGGCTCACATAGTGAGGAGGAGAGTGGTAAGAAAAGACACAACAGCAACTTTGTACAGGACCTTAGTCAATAGCAATCATGTAGATTTTATTCTCAAAAAAGATGAGAAGCACTGGAGGATTTAAAATAGGGTAGTGAGATCAAGCTGGTGTTCCTTATAAGTCATTAATTTAAAAAAACCCTATATCAAAGGAGTTGGTATATTTCTTTTTGGCTTTTTCTTCTGTTAAATATAAAAATTATATAGGAATAAAAACTGCAGTTTAAAGTCAGGGATTATTTATAATGACATCACATGATGATTTATTGATCACATCTGTCTCTAAATACATAAAGCATTTGCTTTTGATTCCATAAGGGTATATAAATTTCCTAAGGTAAGGAACCTAATAATAAAGCTGTTGCAGTTGGCCAGCTCTAACCCATGTTTTGGAATTGCCCTTACTCTTTATTCACCATCATCACACGCACATACACACACACACACACACACACACACACACACACAGAGAGAGAGAGAAGAGAGATTTTTTACCTAATGGCATGATGAAATTAAAAGTCTGCAGTCAGACTTGGGTATTTACTTAACCTCTCATGGCTTCAGTGCTTTATCTATAAAATGCAGCTACAACTACTTCCAAAAGTCTATTTCAAGAATTAAAGTAAGAGAGATCTTCAAGTAGCTCAAGGAAAATATGTATCAAGAAAACCTTATTGGGGCCGGTGCTGTGGCACAGCAAGTAAAGCCGCCACCTGCAGTGCTGGCATCCTATATGGGCACTGGTTCTAGTCCCCGCTGCTCCACTTCTGATACAGGTTTCTTCTATGGCATGGGAAAGCAGCGGAAGATGGCCCAAGTCCTTTGGCCCCTGCAACCATATGGGAGACCCAGAGGAAGCTCCTGACTTCTGACTTCAGATCAGCACAGCTCCAGACCTTGCTGCCAATTGGAGAGTGAAACAGTGGATGGAAGAGCTCGCTCTCCCTGCCTCTCCTTCTCTCTGTGTGACTCTGACTTTCAAACAAATAAATAAATCTTTAAACAGAATAGAAAACCTTATTTATAAATTTCAAGTTTTCTTTATATCAAAATAAATTCAAAGTAAGTTATATTATGTTTGAACAGGATCTAATTTGAGACACTAAGACATATAAAACATCAGTTTGAAAAGAACCCTTATTAGAACAACAGGAATTCTGCCAAAGCTGCAGCAAGAACAAACATCAAATTTATGGTGAAGCATGGATGGAACAATGGTGAAATCACTGATGCTTTAATAAAACTATATAAGGACAACAGCCTAAAGAAATAAGCAATTTAAAAATGGATAATTGTTTTTAGAAGGGATAAGATGATGTTGAAGATGAAGGCAGCTGGTTCATGGTGCACTAGGTTATTCCTCCACCTGCAACGCTGGCATCCCACATGGCTGCTGATTCTAGCCCCGGTTGCTCCTCTTCCAGTCCAGCTCTCTGCTGTGGCCTGGGAAAGCAGTGGAGGATGGCCCAAGTCCTTGGGCCCCTGCACCCGCATGGGAGACAGGGAGGAAGCACCTGGCTCCTGGGTTCGGATCGGCGCAGTTCCAGCCATTGCAGCCACTCGGGGAGTGAACCAATGGAAGGAAGACCTTTCTCTCTCTCTCTCTCTGTAACTCTGCCTGTCAAATAAATAAAATCTTAAAAAAAAAAAAAAAAAAAAAAAGATGAAGGCAACAGTGGCAGATCATCCACATCAATTTTCAACGAAAAAATTAATTTTTTTCACTCTCTAATTGAAGAGGACTTACAGCAGAAACAGTAGCTAAACCAAAGACATCTCAACTTATTCAGCTCATACAACTCTTTGAGAAACTAAAATGGAGCAAATCTTTCTGCTTTATCAGGGCAAAAACCATTGTACACAGATCAGCTGCTGACAAGAGCAGAGTTTTCAATGAAAATCCCATTTTATTTTCTTACTTACTTGAAAGGCAGAGAAAGAAATACAGGAAGAAAAACAGGGAGACAGAGCTACCACAGATTGGTTCACTCTCTAAACATTCGCAACAGCTGGGGCTGGTTCACTTTCAAACATTCCCAACAGCTAGGGCTGGGGCAGAACAAATTCAGGAATGCAAATCCAATCCAGATTTCCCATATGGATGGTAGGAACCTAGCCCCTTGAGCCATCACCATTACCTCTCAGGGTCTGCACCAATAGGAACCCAGAATCAGGAGCAAGAGCCAGAGATCCAATCCTAGGCACTCTGACATGGGACAGAAGCGTCCCAACAGGGATCCCAGCCAACAGGCCAAACATCCACCCCTCAAGTGGGATAAAGATCCTGAAGCATTTCTTCAAAGAATCATGAAACAGGACATGAAACATGGCTTTATCAATGCAATTCTGGACACCAAAGAAAAAGCAATAGCTACCTAGAGTTGGAAGTGGTAGAAGTGGTCAAAAGCAAAATGATCAAGATCAAAGGTTCTGGCAACTGTTTTTTGGAAATGCTCAAGGCATCTGCTTATTGATTCTTTGGATAACCAAAGAACGATAACACCTGCTTGTTATGAGAATGTTTTGAGAGTCGGCCAAAGCTTTAGTAGAAAAACACCTGGGAAATTCTCCACCCCAACACAATACTCCTACTCAATTGTCTCATCAACCAAGGGCAATTTTCCAAGTTTCCATAGGAAAGCACCAGGCATCCACCTTACAATCCTGATTTGATCCTTCTGACTTTTGTTAGTAAACTCTGAAAACATTTAAAGGCTATCCATTTTTCTTGTTAATAATGTAAAAAAAGACTGTTCTGATATGATTAAATTTTCAGGACCCTCAGTTCTTTAGGGATAAACTATAACATTGCTTACAAAACTCTTACACTGAGAAAGTTTGCATTTTTGTAACTTTATCTTTTAATTTCATTCTTCCACAAACGTTTTTAAATCCCCTAATATACTGCATCTCAGAGATAGAGGGTATTCCTGTGTCTCTTCCATATCCATCATTTAGCTCCCATTCTCAAACCTAAGATATTTACAAAACCAATTAATTAGCGATTGCTGTCTTAGACTAAATCTATATACACTATCTTAATAATAGCGATAGCACCCACTGATCCAAGGACTATTATGTGCTATAAAGTTGGCTACTTTGAATAAAAAGTGTATAACCATACAAGAGTGTGTTATACCTTTTTGTTTACCAATGGCAAAAATAAAACATGCTTTGAATTTTATTTCATTTTATTTCATGTAACGATCACTCAAGAAGTATTTTTTAAAAAGTCATCACACTTTTGGAAGCATTTTTATGTTATCTTTTGTAAAAAGCCAACAATTGCATTGTGTTCTTTTAGATATCTTATTCAACATTTAACTCCTTAAAAAACCCTAGTAGCAAAAAGACAGAAATGCTGTGGATAGTAGAAAGTAAATCTGTCAAGGGTTTAAACAATTTTTTTTCCTATCAGCTTTATAGCAATCATTTCAGCACTGCTATTCAATAACTTTCGTTCATCTTCAACTGGTTCCCTAGCACAAAACCTACTTCCCTATCTTTTCCATTCCTCTTCAAACTTTACTTGCCATCTTATTTTTATCTCTCAGTGTGGCACTATTCCTAATAAAGCCAGACTTTTCTGTGTAACTACACTTTCCATTCTTGTCCTCTGTCATAACTATCTCTTAGATCCATCAATTACCTCGCTTTTTTAGCTCTAATCTCTTCCTACAAATCAGCTGGGTCTCCAGTTCTCCTTTACCCAAGTAGTATCTCCTATAAAATGCTATTCCTAAAATTGCCCTAATCCATATGTTAAATATATAAGTGTAATTGTAACTCGGTAAAAAAAAAAAAAAAAAAAAAGCAAAAAATCTCTAACAAATTGAAAGAACTTACAATTTTGTTTATTTTTCTACTGGATATTTTAAATTAACTACTTCTTTAAAGTTTCGTCTGTATTACAGGCTATTCATGTCTGGTTTCAAAACTATATTAACCAAGCCTGACAATTAGGCAGTATTTTCCATTGTAAAAACCACTGATTAAAGTTCAAAGTTTTGTTGTGCATCGTTGGGATTTAACTTGAAAGGGCATAAGCATAGCTACATCTGTTCTTATGTAAACCATCTTTAATATCAGAATAGACATTAAATTTTGTGTACTTGCATCTGATTTTCTATTTTCACAGTACTCTTATAACACGGGCATACATACGCTTTTATTCTCACCTGATTTTTTTTTTAAATTCTCCTCCCACTTTTCAAACAGCCTATAAATTTTCAATACGATACGAAAGCTCACTTCCGGAGATATTTTCTAGAGGCCTGATGAAACAAACCTCTACCCATATTGATTCTCGCTAAGTGCCTGCCGCCGCCAGTTCGGCCCTCACTTTAATAACTACCTCGCAAGAGACAAGCATTTAAGCCCTCGAAGGCGTCTGGGCAGTGAACGACTTCTCAGAGCTTCCCTATCTCCCCAAATGCTCTTCTCAGGATTCCAGATATGCTGATTCCCAGATTCTACCTAAGTAGCGCTTCCTCGAATTTTCGCAAGTAACCTGACTGGAACAACCTACAGAGAACAGCCGGTGGTAACCCAAGAGCCGCCGCCACCAACGCTGTGCGCACCGGGAAGACCGCCTGTGACTGGACACACGCTCTCCAGTGACGCGGGCGCTGCGGCCCGACGCGGCTGGAGGCGACCGCGCCTGCGTGCTGGCGAGGGGCGGGGCGAGGGGGCGGTCCGAGCGCAGCCGGGAAGCAGCCTGTGAGTTGCGGCGGCAGAGGGGTGGTGGGGAGGGAGGGAGGGCGGGAGGAGCGGAGAGCGGTGGAGGGGCGGGCCTTTCCAGTCGCCCCCTGCGTTCCTCACTTCCTGTTTGCCGCGCCTTCTGAATCCGGGTCAAGGGTCTTCGCCTCTCTGCACTCTGACTGCTCCCGGCACCCTCCGTGACAGCGCCTACTGACTCAGCCCGGGACCAGTGTCTTTTCTCGGCCTGCTGGAGCCTGGACGCCCGTACCTGCCCCAGATCGAGGAGGCGCGCTTCCTCCACCTACCGGCTCGAAGCCCCGGGCCCTGAGCGACCGCCGGGGGGCCGCACTGGCCCCTCCGCGCCGATGCTGAGCGAGACTGCGGGCCCGGGGCGGCGGCGGAGTTCGGGCCTCTGGCGCCGTAGGCCAGCCGTGGGTAGGGTCGGTTCCTAGGCGCCCCCGATTCGCCGTTCCTGCCTCGGCTTGGATGGATCCTCCTGCCCGATAAATGTGGCTGCTGAGGCGGCGGTGGCGGTGGCCAGTCCAGCTGCTGCTGCGCTCCCAGTTCGCCTCGGCCGCGGCCCTCTCCCGTGCTATCTTGGGGCTACCGCCGCCCGCTTCTTATCCCCCGGCCCTGTCCCGTGGTGACAATGGACAAGATCCTGGAGGGCCTGGTGAGTTCTTCGCACCCACTGCCTGTGAAGAGGGTGATTGTGCGAAAGGTGGTGGAATCGGCGGAGCATTGGCTAGATGAAGCGCAGTGCGAGGCCATGTTTGACCTCACGACCCGGCTCATCCTGGAGGGCCAGGACCCGTTCCAGCGGCAGGTGGGGCACCAGGTGCTGGAGGCCTACGCACGATACCACCGGCCGGAGTTCGAGTCCTTCTTCAACAAGACGTTCGTCCTGGGCCTCCTCCAGCAGGGCTACCACTCGCTGGACCGGAAGGACGTAGCCATCCTGGACTACATTCACAACGGCCTGAAGCTGATCATGAGCTGCCCGTCGGTGCTGGACCTGTTCAGCCTGCTGCAGGTGGAGGTGTTGCGGATGGTCTGTGAGAGGCCGGAGCCGCCGCTCTGTGCCCGACTCAGTGACCTTTTGACCGACTTCGTGCAATGCATCCCCAAAGGGAAATTGTCCATCACGTTCTGTCAGCAACTGGTTCGAACGATAGGCCACTTCCAGTGCGTGTCCAGCCAGGAGAAAGAGCTGCGAGAATATGTCTCCCAGGTGACGAAAGTGAGTAACTTGCTGCAAAACATCTGGAAGGCTGAGCCCTCCACACTGCTGCCTTCCCTGCAAGAAATTTTTGCAAGCATCTCTTCCACAGGTAAGGGTCGGTGTATTTCAACAGACTGTCCCCTGGAAATTAAGTGGGTGTCTCTTCGCGCGCTCTCTCTCTCTCTCTCTCTCTCACACACAGATTGTGTTTCCTGCACACAATCTGAACCGGAAACCAGATCCTAATGCCCTCGTTCAAAATTTTATTCCCATCTACTACCTTCTAAAGGATGTCACTTTGTACCCTAAAATCAGGCAGCGTTCTTACTTTAAAGGTTGAGAACATCCAGGCCTGAGGCCTTTGGCAGTACAAGTTGCCCACGTACCCAGCCTCTCCTTAAGTTATGGAATGCTTTGAGGATGACAGTGACCGAATGAGGCTTCTAGTCATTAGTGACTCATGGATAGCATAGTGTTTACCATGTTATTATTATAAGTGACCCTTTCATCTTGTCGTCATAAGTTTTTTCTATGTTTTTAGTTCCCACATCTTAAAATTCTGGATCGTGCAGTTTGTTTAATTACTGGATTATCCAAGTTAACCATGCAGTTTTTAAATATTGGCATTTTTCTGTCTACAGTCTGAGAGAAGGGATATGATAAAATGAGAGAAGGCAAAGAATGAAGTAGATGTGTTTTGTGCCAGTGAGCTGCATTCTCAGCAATCGGGGAAAAGTCAAGTGACATTTGACTAGAAAATGATTACTTACTCGCCATACAGTTTTACTTGTGCAGCTATATTCTTCACTGTGCCTTAGAGCTGTAGGTTGTGAGATAGTAGGTCCAGAATCATGTTTATTTCCACTCTACGTGGTACAACCATTCACCCGGATTACACCACCATTGGGGACTCCCTGAGTGTTTGAAAATGAACTTTTGAAGAAAATGTCCTCCTTTTATCTTAAGAACCAGAAATAAGGGTGGTGTTTTAACCAGCATCATACTTTCTGATGAATTTAGTACAATTATAAAAGAAGTACCAACTGCATTTGTAGTATCTGAGTTGAGTCTATTTTTTTAATAATTTACAATTTTATTTATGTTGTCTCTGGTAGCAAACCTGTTAAGTTTTCCCCCAACTTTTGTTCTGGAGTGGTACAAATGCCCATCTTGAATTTGTTTAATTTTTAGTTTAAGCAAAGTTTTCCTAAAATTCATCTTAATCATTACTTCAAGAGTTTTTATAAAAAAAATCTTGCTTAGAGCAATTTAATGACTACTGTAATAGTTTTAAATTAGTTTTGTGAGTCTGGAATGGGAATTGAAATGGTTCCTTGCATGTCTTTTCTGACTATTGCTTTGCAAATGAATATTTTAGCACAATATTTAGCACGTAATAATGTTAATTCAAAAAATAGCTTAGGGACTAAATATGGCAATAGTGTATAACAATTTGTATTTCAGTGTTCTGTCTATAGAATGAGTGATCCTTGCTGTTCATTCTTAATCTCATTTTTGTCTCGCATTCCTGGTATATTAGAGTCTACCCATGAGGTGTAGTGTAACATCTGCTTCCTGATTTACATTATTTGATTCTAGTAAAGTATTGTTCTTTAAATTATTTCATGTAAACCTTCATGCCATATTCCTTTTCCTTTCTAATTTAAAAAACAGATGCATCATTTGAACCTTCTGTAGCATTGGCAAGTCTTGTGCAGCATATTCCTCTTCAGATGATTACAGTTCTCATCAGGAGTCTTACTACGGATCCAAATGTAAAAGATGCAAGTATGACCCAAGCTCTTTGCAGGTACTTCTTTGAGACACTATAGATGGTATTGTAGATTTGGAAAGAAGGGAACATTTTGTTTTCTGAGTAGTAAAAAACTTAGAAAAATGTTAAAGTTGAAATCATGAAATCAAAATTAATGGAAATTATTTACCTTCATGTATCCCTGACAGGCATCCCAATAATTCAGACGTCCATTCCAGTTCAACATTTTTTTAAGATTTATTTATTTATATTTGAAAGCAGAGATACAGAGAGGAGAGAGAGAGAGATCTTCCATCCATTGCTTCACTCCCCAAATGGTTGCGACAGCTGGAGCTGTGCCAGGCTGAAGCCAGGAGTCAGGAGCTTCTTCCTGGTCTTTCACATAGGTGCAGAGGCCCAAGGGTTTGGGCCATCTTCCACTGCTTTTCCAGGTACTTTAGCAGGGAGCTGGATCAGAACTGGAACAGCTGGGACTAGAACTGGCGCCTATATGGGATACCGATACTGCAGGTGGAGGCTTAGCCTTCTACGCCACAGCACTTCAACTTTTTTTAAAACCAAAAACATACATGCATCACTTATTGTCAAGTCAGAAGTTGGCTGGATTTCAATATATTTCACCAGTTTCTTTGCTCATTTTTGTTTCTTGCAACCTGTTTCTTCACTTTGGATTTATTTTTGTTGTTTTGTTATTTTTTTTCCTAGCTAAGTACCTATCGTACTTTCTCTTTAAACTTTGCTCATTGAATAATATACTCTTTTTTTTTTTTTTTTTTTTTTTTTTGACTGGCAAAGTGGACAGTGAGAGAGAGACAGAGAGAAAGGTCTTCGTTTGCCGTTGATTCACCCTCCAAAGGCCGCCACGGCCGGTGCGCTGCGGCTGCTGCACCGCGCTGATCCGATGGCAGGAGCCAGATGCTTCTCCTGGTCTCCCATGGGGTGCAGGGCCCAAAGACTTGGGCCATCCTCCACTGCACTCCCGGGCCACAGCAGAGAGCTGGGCTGGAAGAGGGGCAACCGGGACAGAATCTGGCGCCCCGACCGGGACTAGAACCTGGTGTGTTGGCGCTGCCAGGCGGAGGATTAGCCTAGTGAGCCGCGGCGCCGGCCCCCTTTAGTGTTAAATAGATGATTTGGCAAGATACAGAATTCTAATTTGATAACCATTTTCTCTTAGCACTTTGAAAATAATACCACATTATCTTTGGGAATCTATTGTTGCTGATAGAAAGTCTGCTATTAATCTGATTATCATTGCTTTATGAATAATCAGGCTTTTCTGGTAACTTTTATGTGTTTCTCATTATCCTTAATGTTTTATAGTTTCATTCTTATGTTCTCGATGTAATCCTAATATTATTTGTCTTTCCCGGCACTTTTACAGGTTCATTCTATCATTCATTCATTTATTCAAATCAAATCACATTTACTTAACACATAACAGGAATGCCAAAGCAGAGTTCAAAACATCTTTGAACAAACTGTTAAAAATATCTGCTCTCATGGGCTTGCTTTCTAGTTGGGCAGGCAGCCAGTAACTGGTAATATATTCATTGGTTCCAACATGCATCCTAATTTCAAAGATGTTAAAGTATGGAAATGCCCAGTCATTAGTGCCATAGTTACATTAGCACAAATTAAGCTAATTATGCATCTTAAAATTTGCTTTGTTTTAGAAAATGTCATAAATATGACAAGTAATTTAATATGTTAGATAGTGATAACTGATTTTGAAAGAAGACAAGAAAGGGAATAGGTTATAGGAGAATGGTTTGCAGTTGTAAAAAAGATGGCTGAGGAAGGCTTCATTGAAGTGACTGAGTTTAAAACATGAAAGAGATGAGGAAGTGAATATGTGGATATCTAAGGGGAAAGAGTATCAATGTAGAGGGTCCATAGTTTATGATGGCTTCACAATTTTTCAAGTTTATCATGGTCTAAAAATAATAAACATTCAGTAGAAACAATACTTTGAATTTTTACCTTTTCTCGGGCCAAAAATTTCTAGTACAGTACTCAAAATGCTGGGCAGAGGCAATCACACAATCACAAGAGTAAATAACCAATACTGTAGTATTTCTAAGCTGGGATATTAGGTAAGTTAGGCATGTTAAATGTGTATTTTGGCCGGCGCTGTGGCTCACTAGGCTAATCCTCCGCCTTGCGGCGCCGGCACACCAGGTTCTAGTCCCGGTCGGGGCACCGGATTCTGTCCCGGTTGCCCCTCTTCCAGGTCAGCTCTCTGCTGTGGCCCGGGAGTGCAGTGGAGGATGGCCCAAATCCTTGGGCCCTGCACCCCATGGGAGACCAGGATAAGTACCTGGCTCTTGCCATCAGATCAGCGCAGTGTGCCAGCCGCAGCGTGCCGGCCGCGGCAGCCATTGGAGGGTGAACCAACGGCAAAAGGAAGACCTTTCTCTCTGTCTCTCTCTCTCACTGTCCACTCTGCCTGTCAAAAAAATAAATGTGTATTTTAACTTACTGTGGATTTATTGGAATGAAACCCCATTATAAGTTGAGAAGCATCTGTATTACCTGTTAACTCCATAATCCATCTATATACCCATCTATATATCTTACTCTTTCTGTTGCATTTCCTTATTTCAGTGACTAAATTTTTCTAACTCAGCTTTTCCTGTTTATCTGTTCTTATTTCATGTCAACTTGGTTTTGTTTTTTAATTTTTCTCATTTTTTTTCTGTGTGTGTGTGCCCACGCATGAATGCATAAGCACATAAAGTATGTTAAGGTAGAATATAAAGATTTGGAATAAACTTATTTCTGCACTCGTTATAAAATTATAGTCATAGATAACATAGAACTAAAGTGCTTATGTTGGGTTCTCAGAAAGCTACATATGTACCAATTCTGTATAACACAAACTATAGAGACTTTGATTTTCTCTACCTTCTCCCCTTTTCACTCTAGTGCCTAAAAATACCATTCTCTTTGAAGTCTTTCTTCTTAAATTAGTTAAATTGAATCCATTTAACTAATAATTTTTACTTCCAATTTCTAATGGCTCATTTCCTCTTTAACTTCCAGAGATTTTTGAAAATGCATTAAGATTTGAGAAGAATCTGTAAATACTGTTCCTGTCGTGTTACTTCTGTCCTTGTACTGCCTTTAATTTGTGGTGGTCCCCCTGCTGTATTTGGTGGTCTATATTTTTATTCTCATCTTTTTGATACCTGTATTTTTTCTTGAAATTCTAGTCCTATGACACCATTGCTATTAGGATTTTCTTCCTATGTCTGTTCCTTTTATTTTCTTCCTTCCCTTTATCTTGCTAATTTATCTGTTCTATAAGTGGTTGATTTCCAAGTCTTTGTGTAAAATTCTTATTCGTTTACCTTTTTTTTTTAAGAACTTTTAAAAAGATTTTTTTGAAAGGCATAGTAACAGAGAGAGGGAAAGACAGATAATGAGCGATCTTCCATCTGCTGGTTCACTCCCCCAAAAGGCTTCAACAACCAATCCTGGGCCAGATAGAAACCTCAGGAGCCTAGAACTCCATCCAGGTGTCCCATGTGGGAGTCAAGGATCCAAGTACTTGGTCGATCTTACAGTTTTCCCAGGTACAGCAGGGAGCTACATCAGAAGTGGAGTAGCTAAGACTTGAACCAGCACTCTGATGTGGGGTGCTGGCATCATAAGTGGCAGCTTAGCCTGCTGGGCTACAAGCTGGCCTTCTCATATACTTTTACAAACACTCTTAACCATCTCCGCATAATAAAACTCAATTCTATGTCCTGTTTGGCAGCAGTGTTCTTTTGTCAGTATAACTGTAATAGCATTAAAATCTTTATCTTTGGGATAAATATGTCATAAGGTATATTTTCCTTTTAGGGCTATAGATTTCACCACTGAAATTAAAAAGTATTTGGTCCATTGCCTCCATTGCATAGGTAATAAGGATAAATATCCCTTATCCAAAATGCTTGTGGCCAGAAATGTTTCAGATTTCAGAGTTTTTCAGATTTCATAATATTTTCATAGACTTTACTGTTGATACAAGATCTAAAGTATTCCAAAATTTTAAACTTTTTGGGTGTCATGCTGATGCTCAAAATTTTGAAATTTTGAATGATCACCTATAATAGCATTTTTCTTTACATGTGATAAGTCATTTAATACTTACTACCACCCTTTGAGGAAAGTACTATTATTGCCCTCATCTTATATTTGAGGGAATTGTGATAGGTTAGAGGTTAAATAATTCCTCAAGCTCAGTCAGGTTAGTAAATGTGGAATTATTATTTGAACTTAAGTCTGACTATAGAGTTACATAGTATGTAGTCATTAATGAGAAAACAAATCCAGAGTAGTCAAATTTCTTAGGATTACTGTGAGAATTAGAATTTATCTTAACATCCTAATGTTGGTTTTTATGTTTTTGTTTTTACTGTTATTAACAGTGTACTCCCACCATATGCTTCTCCGTGCTCTGTACTTCCCCACACACAGTACTTGTGCTGTCACATTCTGTAATCCAAAGAAATGCAAGTATATACACCATATAGGTAACATTGAAGTATGAAATTGGCCAGGTGTTAAGGAAATGGGCTGCATAAGCATTTACTAAAAGAGAAAGTTGATCCTCAGCTCCAGTTGCTTGTTGCCGTGAGGAAATAGAATTTATGCTTGCTTGATCCTGTGTTTCAAAAGAAGCCTGAAATCCAGTTTTCTCTAAAATTTCCCAAATTTAAAACATTCCAGTAAATAAAATTGAAGCCCACAAACAGCCATGTAATAGCAAAAGTTGGTTTTGTTTTCCACAAACTACAACCAAATCTATTTTGTTGCCTTTCATAATATAATCAGTTTTAATGTTACAGTTTTAAAGTTGCATGCAGTTTTTAGCTAAAAAAAGAAATTTGATTTTGTACAAAGTTCTTGGCACTATGTTAAGTGCTGAGAATCCAAAGATGTAAGAAAAAAAACAAACAAGGTTGCTGCTCTTAAGCTACTGTTTAATGGAGGAGACAACACTTTGAAGTACATAGATGACAACTATAATTAAATGTTCCCTAAATAGTAAGAAATTAAATCAGTATATCAAGGTTGGTTACCGATATGTGATAGATAAGTTTTTATGGTAGCTAACCATGAAAGTAATTTTACAATGCCTATACCTAAGATTTGAGCATATTCAAGCCTAATCAAATTGAATCAGAACTGGAACATAATTAAAGTATAGCAAAAAACATTCTATTGTAAGCCAAAAGGGCTTAGCCAAATACTAGTATTCACAATTTGGTATTTGTGTGACCATTGACAAATTTCCTAACTTTTCTTTTCAATTTGAGGTTAGAAATTGTATCTTTTATATTCTCGGCACATAGCAATGTACCTGCTATATAATACATGCTGTATATATTTGTGTATATATATAAAACAAATATTTGATAAAAAGCTTTTATCTTAGTCTATTTGGGCTGCTGTAACATATACTTTTGGTCAGGTAATTTATAAACAGCAGACATTTATTTCTCACTGTCTGAAAGCTGGGAAGTCTTAAGCTCAAAATACAAGCTGATTCCAGTGAAAATCTATTCTGATTAGATACTACCCTTTGTGAGTCTTCACATGATAGAAAGGACATACTTGCTTCAACCACTTTATAAGGGCAGTAATCACATTCATGAGAATTCTGTCCTGATGACATATTCATCTCCCAGAGGTTGCCCCCTCTTAATAGCAACACATTTCAAATTAAAATTCAACACATGAGTTTTTAAGGAACATATTCAGGCTATAACAGTTTCTAATTTGTGTAATAACTTCTAATTTGAAGTTTATTTAAGGTCGGTGAGGAGATCGGTACCCATGGGATAAAGAGTAGAGGCTTATGAGGTGGAAAGTCAGAAATGAGTAGAGGATAAAGGAAAGGGGCCAACTAAGTAATTAGGGATAATGAAGAGCCATGGCCAAGTGGCTGACCTTTTTTTTTTTTTTTTTTAATTATTATTATTTATTTATTTGAAAGAGTTACAGAGGTAGAATCAGAGAGTGAGAGGTCTTCCATCTGCTGGTTCACCCCCCAAATGGATGCAAAGCCAGAGCTGAGCCAGTCTGAAGCCAGGAGCTTCCTTTGGGTCTCCCACATAGGTGCAGGGGCCCAAGGACTTGGGCCATCCTCCACTGCTTTCCCAGGTGCACTAGCAGGAAGCTGGAGTGGAGCAGCCAGGACTCAAGCCAGCAGAGCTCATATTACTTTGGATTTATTCCATTAAACTGACTGTTGTTCAGGAAGAAAAGCACTCAATGCAAAATGAGGCCATTAGCATATTTTCACATGCGGTACCTTTTTATATATAGGGAGTTTCTTTTTGTTGTCTTTGAAAGAGGCAGATACTTGTTGCACAGTTCAAAATATAGCCTTTTTAAAACAGTGAATTTCATGATAAACTATACTCACCAGGAAGAACAAGTCTTGGTTCATAGCCATATGTCTTACTTCAGATATCTACATTTTAACTACTGTTCTTAATAGTAAATATGCCTAGTAAGTTATATTTTTAAAAAGATGTATTTGTTATTTATTTGAAAGGCAGAGGAACAGGGGGAGGGGGGAGATCTTCCATCTACTGGTTCATTCCTCAAATAGCTACAACAGCGATTGCTGGGCCAGGCCAATGCCAGGGCCCAAGAACTACATTCTAACTGTTCTTTTTTAGGGTAAATTGACTAATAAAGTTTTAATACCAATATATGGCATAAATTCAAAATTTTGCATCTTTCTGAAATGACAATTTATCAGAAATTATATGGGAATATGAAAAATATAAGAAATGGTCAGCTTATAAGATTGGATGCTCTTTGAGGACAGGTACCTGTTGCACTCATTTCTGCATCTTGGTCAATGCTTTTTAAAAGCAAGTTCACTAAATTCTCTCAAAGTGAGTAGTTATCTAGTTGAACTCTTGTTAAATAACACCTACCTAAATAATACTAAAAATATTTTCAATACCGTTTGTTTTGCATTCTTTCAATTTTCAGAATGATTGACTGGCTCTCCTGGCCATTGGCTCAGCATGTGGATACATGGGTAATTGCACTCCTGAAAGGACTGGCAGCTGTCCAGAAGTTTACTATTTTGATAGATGTCACTTTGCTGAAAATAGAACTGGTAAGTGTGAGTATATATAATATAAATCTATTTGAATATATGGAATCATATAATCAATATTTTAATCTTCATGTTTCTCCTTAAAGCATCAAATTTTTATATTTTGTTTTAGATAGGATTTAGAAATTTTAAAATGTCATTTAAGTCTTAAGTAATTAGAATTTTCAGATATCCAGTACAAAAACATGTTCCTCATATTATCTCTTGAATTCAACTGATAAGGGGCTCCTTTTTTAATAAGATTTATTTATTTATTTGGAAGGCAAATTTACAGAGAGATAGGGAAGACAGAGAGAGAGATCTTCCTCACTCCCCAGATGACCACAGTGGCCCGTGTAGGGCCACCAGGTTGAAGCCAGGAGTCAGGAGCTTTATCCAGGTCTTGCACATAGGTGGCAGATGCTTGAAAACTTGGGCCATCTGCTGCTGCTTTTCCCAGGCTATAAGCATGGAGCTGCATCAGAAGTGGAGCAGCTGGGAAACAAACCAGCACCCATAGCAGATGCCAGCATCGCAGGAGCTTTACCTGCTATGCCACAGCACTGGCCCCAGTAGGCAAGCTTTTACTACCATTACTCCACTACAAATTTATATTTCTGTTTTGTTGTTTTTCCTTGAACTTCTTATTCATGTATTCAACTGTCTATGCTTGGATCTCAAAATCACCTTATAATTTTTATTCCTGATTTATCCTTCTCAAACCTGGTTTTCCTCGTGTTAATAAATGGCTGCTCTATCCTTCCACTTAATCATGTCAAAAACTTTCAAGCCATCTTTGTTTCTTTTCATTGCCTTTCAGCCCACATCTTAAAATCCTGTTGACTGTACTTTTAAAATATACCTAGGGGCTGGCGCCATGGCTCACTTGGTTAATCCTCCACCTGCAGTGCTGGCATCCCATATGGGCACCAGGTTCTTGTCCCGGTTGCTCCTCTTCCAGTCCAGCTCTCTGCTGTGGCCCGGGAGGGCAGTGGAGGATGGCCCAAGTGCTTGGGCCCTGCACCTTCATAGGAGACCAGGAGGAAGCACCTGGCTCCTGGCTCCTGGCTTCGGATCAGCGCAGCGCCGGCCATGGCGGCCATTTGGGGAGTGAACCAATGGAAGGGAGACCTTTCCCTCTGCCTCTCTCTCACACTGTCTATAACTCTACCTGTCAAATAAAAACTAAATAAATAATAAATGAATAAATAAATATATCTAGAATCCTACCACTTTTTTTTTAAAAAACCTCTGCAATTATTAGTTTATTAGTATCATCCAGGACTCAGGTGTTCAGTGTTCCTCCTGAAATTACATCAACAAATGCAAATGGAAAGAATCCAAGTCAAAATTATATAACAAAACAGCACTCCATCACAAAAGCGTGTAAAATTACAAGAACGCTATTTTAAAACACTGGCACTTTAAGAGAACGATAATCTCAAAAACCACAAAATTGCCAAATTGTTCCCTAAACTGCTAAGTAGATAAACATGACTGTAATGAATGAGCTTGGAATCCTACCACTTTTAATTAATTAAATCACTACCACTGACTTCCAATATTCTCCCTGCTCCTGCCTTTGATCCCGTATAGGCATGACACAAATCCTACATGAAGTGGTCCACTTCTTCTCTGATCTCATCTCTCACTACTTCTGCCTCAGTCTTTTGCATCACTTAGGCTGTCCTTGTTATGTCTGACACACCACCCTGAAGACATGGGGGCCCTGCAGTGCTATTCACTCTTACTATCCTTTTTCCCCTTGTATCTGCCAGGTTTATCTTGCTCCCTTCAGTTTTATAGTTAAATGTTACCTTTTTCATGAGGATCTTTTTTTAAGATATATTTTATTTATTTGAAATGCAGAGTTAGAGAAAGAGAGATCTTCCATCTACTAATTTACTCCCCAAATGGCCATAACGTTTAGGACTGGGCCTGGGACTGGGCCTGGGACTGGGGCTCTGCCAGGCCAAAACCAGGAGCTAGGAACTCCATTCATGTCTTCCACATGAGTGGCAGGGGCCCAGGCACTTCAGCCATCTTCCACTGCTTTCCCAGGCACAGTAGCAGGAAACCGGATGGGAAACAGAGCCACCAACACTCAAACCAACACTTATATGGGATGCAGGCATCACAAAGGCAGCTTAACCCACTACCCCACAACGCCAGCTCCACATGAGGCGATTTTTGACTACCCTATATATATATAAAATGGACATATGTTCTAACCAGCATTTTCTATTTCTCACACCTTGCTTTCTATTTTTTATAAAATTTACCACCTTATGTTTCCTTTTATCATTTCTATGTACCCTCTGAATGGTAGGTTCTATAAGATGGAGATTATTTTTTAGATCTATTGTTGTATGGAGATTATTTTTTAAATCCACTGTTGTATCCCCAGTGCCTAGGACATTGCTAATCAATAAGAGCTCAAGGGGCCAGCGCCGTGGCACAGTAGGTTAATCCTCTGCCTGTGGCGCCAGCATCCCAAATGGGCGCCGGTTCTAGTCCCAGCTGCCCCTCTTCCAATCCAGCTCTCTGCTGTGGCCTGGGAAAGCAGTGGAAGATGGCCCAAGTGCTTGGGCCCCTACTACCCACGTGGGAGGCTGGGAAGAAGCTCCTGGCTTTGGATCGGCGTAGCTCCAGCCCTTGCGGCTATTTGGGGAGTGAACCAGTGGAAGGAGGACCTTTCCCTCTCCTTCTCTCCCTCTCACTGTCTGTAACTCTACCTCTCAAATAAATAAATAAAAATCTTTAAAAATAAAAAAAAAAAACTCAACAAATACTTGTTGGATGAACTCGAACAGTGGACCAGGAAGCTATTACCTTGTAAACATAGTTTTTAATTGAACCAGGGAGTTTTAAGAGTTGGTTAGGCCATCACATTCCCCTTGATTTTTGTCATGTAATTTGCTAACTTTCTCCTTTACCCAAAACTTAATAATATGTTAATGATAGAACCTTCTAGGGTCAAGGACATTCACACAAATAGTTTTTAACCCTATGAAAATAACCATAGTTACTTTGGATTAACAATTTTCCTGCAAACTGTTAAGATCAGTGTCTTGTCTTATTTTGAAGGTTTTTAATCGACTTTGGTTTCCTCTTGTGAGACCTGGTGCTCTTGCAGTTCTTTCTCACATGCTGCTTAGTTTTCAGCATTCTCCAGAGGCGTTCCATTTGGTAAGTTATGATATGAGCTTCGTACATTGAAAGAACATTATGTTTCAAAGTTTAGTTTCATATTAAGTCTCATTTATATATAATGAGGTTAGCCCTAAATCTTACTATTCTCTTGTAATTTTATGATTTCTTAGAAAATTGAGATTGTGAAATTTTCCTTAAAGGAATGTTTTCAGAATACTTTGTGTTTCACCAGAACAGCCCCATGTAAAACAACTGCCAACACATAAAAAGTTACTGCTGTACATGAGATATGCCACTGATGGGTGGAGGGTGCACATATGAAGAAAGTAGAAGAATTAAAATGGAGTAAAACCACTGTTTTAAAAAATTTTTATGTGAAACAATTTTTTTTCTTGAGGAATTTATTAATACGTTAACTTCTCAGGGTCACAGCAAATGGATAATAACTACTACAGCACAGTTCTCATCAGTTCTCATGTTAACGTGATAATACAAAGAGAACAGATTCACTGTAGTTCATAGATAAACTTCTGCTTCCCTCACTCCTCCCTCCCTCTCTTTCTTTCTTAGTTTTTGAGATGACATATTTTAATGTACATTATAGTCAAAGGCTTAAATGTACCACTAAAGGTTCAACAAGTAAAAAGTATAAAGACCCTAGTTCAATGCTAATATAGACAAGGGCTATAAATAATAATCAAATAAAAAGATGACAGTTTCATGAAAACATTAGTCTTTGCTTTTATAGCTCCAAAATCTTAATACTTTTCTTTCTTTGTAAGCCCATATCCTGTAAATTCTGTTGCTCTACCTTTAAAGTATATCCATAATCCTACCACTTTAAACTAGCTACATCACTAGTTTTGAAATGATTTTATTTGATTTCATTTATTTGACTATCAGTTATTTTAGCTGAGAAATGATAAAATATTATTTCAGGAACCTGTTCATTTACCTAGCTAAGGCATCACAATAAAGTATTGCCTGGTTCCTCTAAGATCTGATGCCTAATTTTTCCCAACTAGAAACTCACCATCAGAACCCTCACACTGTCAAAAGTCTTAGGGATACTAATTTACCATTACAAAACTGAGGGAAGACTAATGAAGAAACACAGAATTTCAATTGTTAATTTTTAGCTAGAAATACAATTAGCCTCAGAGAAGCTGAGAAACTCTCAGAGAACCACAGAGGCTTCTTAATGCTTCATTTCCACCAGAGGAGAATTCACAGGCACTGTAGTAAATAAACCTTCCTAACAAGCAGTTACATTATACATTATCACTTAGGATGAGTGATTTCTGCAATTAATTGCTCTGATTTTGATGAGTTTCATCATCAGACCAATAAGCTTATATCTGTACAATAGACAAAACTCAAGCTTGGGCTGTTGTAGCAAATGTACTAGCAAAGTGTTCCAAGGAGAAAAAAAATCAGTTATTTGTCCTTGTTATCAATTATGATTGTGTGTAAGACATTTGAGAAAAAATTTGTTTTCAAATTTGCTAGGAAGGAGATTGTCTAACATAAGTTGATCATCCATGCTAATGTTTGTTGATCTGCACGCTGAAGAATGTCACACTGCCATACTCTAAACCTATTTCTTTGCTCAGTTTTTTAAAAGATGCAAGATAGCTCCTTTTATATTGCTTTTCCTGAAAAACTTAAAACAACAAATGTTTGAAATATTTGGCTTATTAAACTAGTTATTAAATCATTATTTAAGGGGCATTTGTTTCTGAAATTAAGAATTGTGAACTGGTGTACTAAAGACTAAAAATAAAGACATAATTATCATCTAAAACTGTGGGTAGCCTCTACTCATTTAAGAACAACTTAGACATTTAGAAGTGCATCACACCAGCGCTGCGGCTCACTAGGCTAATCCTCCGCCTGCAGCACCGGCACACTGGATTCTAGTCCCGGTCGGGGCGCTGGATTCTGTCCCGGTTGCCCCTCTTCCAGGTCAGCTCTCTGCTGTGGCCCGGGAGTGCAGTGGAGGATGGCCCAAGTGCTTGGGCCCTGCACCCGCATGGGAGACCAGGATAAGCACCTGGCTCCTGGCTTCTGGTCAGCACGGTATGCCGGCCGTGGCAGCCATTGGAGGGTGAACCAAAGGCAAAGGAAGACCTTTCTCTCTGTCTCTCTCACTGTCTACTCCGCCTGTCAAAAAAAAAAAAAAAAAAAAAGAAAGAAAGAAAGAGAGAGAGAAGTACATCACCCATACTGCAAATAACTCAGTGAATGACTCAGATCTCAGATTTAGAAATTGCTAAGTATGGGCAATAATCTAGAATCAACAATATCATTGTGCATTGTATGTTTAGAATATTTTAGTGCAAACTATGACTGATGTATAGTGTGTGTTGTTATGGGTCAAGCTGATTTTCGTTTTTTATAAGTGAAAAACAGTAGGGTTTTTTTTGTTTTTTTGTTTTTTTGAAGATTGATTTATTTATTTGAAAGGTGGAATTACAGACAGAGAGGCAGTGGTGGAAAAATAGAAGTTTTCCACCTGCTGCTTCACTTCCCAAATGGTCACAATGGCCAGGGCTGGGCTTAACTGAAGCCAGGAGCCAAGAGCTTCATTCATGTCTCCTATGTGAGTGCAGAGGCCCAAACACCTGGGCCATCATCCACTGCTTTCCCAGACACATTAACTGGGAGCAGGATGGGAAGTGGACTAGCTAAGATTTGAACAAGCACCTGTATGGGATGAGTGGTGGCTTAACTTGCTATACCACAGCACCAGCCCCAGAAAAAATAGTTTGCTATTTATTTTATACACGCTATGGCAGATAGCAATAATAGAGAAACGAATCAAAGCTACTCATTAAGTAAAATTTATTGTATCTTTCTTCAAGTAGTAAATTAAATTTGGTAAGTATTAACAGTATTTTCAGTAAAATAACTTTCAAGGATTTAGCTTGCTTGAAAGTGTACCTATATAATAGTAAAGAACTATTATTTCAGTGTCAGTGATAGTATTAACCATTTAGGATATGTTAGTTAGACAACCATATAACCTGATTGCAAAGACCAGATTTACTCTAGAAAAGCTTCTGGAAGATTTAAAACTGTAAATTTAATAATCATTTTTGAAATTCTTCCCTCTTATCTATCTCTGTCTCTCTCCCTTTCTCCCTCCCTCCCCACCTCTCCCCTCTGCTTCCCTTTACCTCTGAGAACATAAAATAATTTTGGATTTCTGTTTTAGCCAAAGAATAACATAGGTGTGCCTGTGGGGCAGAATTATAATTCAGATTTGCTTAAAAATTTATATATGATAGCAATAGAGTGAACTCACAGGAATTGATAATTTTATGGTCACATTAATACTTTTGATGTAGAGTAGATCAAAGAAGGCAGTATAAAAGCAAAAATGTGGCCGGCGCCATGGCTCACTAGGCTAATCCTCTGCCTGCGGCACTGGCACCTCGGGTTCTAGTCCCGGTCAGAGCACCGGATTCTGTCCCAGTTGCTCCTCTTACAGTCCAGCTTTCTGCTGTGGCCCGGAAAGGTAGTGGAGGATGGCCCAGGTCCTTGGGCCCTGCACCCGCATGGGAGACCAGAAGGAAGCACCTGGCTCCTGGCTTCGGATCGGCGCAGCACGCCAGCCGCGGCCGTAGCGGCCACTTGTGGGGTGAACCCACAGAAAAAGGAAGACCTTTCTCTCTGTCTTCTCTCTCTCTCTCTGTCTCTCTCTCTCTCTCTCTCTCTCTCTCTCACTGTCTAACTCTGCCTGTCAAAAAGAAAAAAGAAAAAAAAATTAAAAACAAAAATGTGGTTTAAGAACTCAAGCACATGAGTAAGCAGATTGGAAATAGCACTAAGATGTCTTCTACCATAAGAAGTATAAATGTGTAATATCATATTAGAATTAATAATTAGTTAGGAAAAGTATAGCACTATGCTACAGGAATGAGCCACTTCTGTAGAGCTTGTTTCAGTTTGATAATTAACAATCTCTTAAATGTTTAATTGACTATATTAGTTGACTTTTTAGTCTATAATTTTACAGTGAAAGAACATTTTTATGGTTAATAAATATTTTCTATTTCCCTTTTATTTTTAGCTCTATTCCTTAAAAATAATAGAATTTCTGAGTTCCTTTATTTAGACCCATCTCCTCTTTTCAAGGGCGGGGGATGGGGTTCATTAGTAAGGATAACCACTCCAATTCCTGTGCTTTTCTAAAAGAAAACTAATCATGTCATTTGAGTTGTAATTTTAGTGATATTCCTAAGCTATTTCGTTTCAAGGACTCTGAAGTAGACCTTAATGTGCAATGTTTAATTCTTTCAAGTGTAATTTTTAAATTTACACTAGGTGGAGCTCTTTAGCTAATTATATGGTTCTGCTGTTTTATTTTCTGTAATCTGTTCATATTTTATGATCCAATCAATGTCACCCTAACATCTTTAAATTTTAGGCATTTCTTTTATTTCCAACTTAATATTTTATTATTCTTTAGATAACATATTTTTAAGTTTAAATTATAATCAAGGCTTAATGGTCCATAAAATAGACTTGAACAAATAAAAACTAAAAAGACCATAGTTGAGCAGGCAAAAAGTCAAGGGTTATGAACAATAATGAACAGTAATCAAATGAAAACATGTTTAACGTCTTACAGTGGCAGCAATGATTGCAATACCTGTTTGTACCTTAATTTGTATTTTAGATGGAGCACTAAGATAAAAAGAAGGTTCTTAAATGGTGTTACAATCAGTTGTGATTTTGAAAATTAGATTTATCTTGATATTCAAGAAATTTTTCACTTCATAGCTTTTTTAAAATAAGCTGTGACTAAATGCATAGAAAAGTTCTGATCATACATTTGCAGTCTGTAGATTAGAGACTATATTACCAGTAATTTTGTAAATTAAGGAGTATTTGTGTTTTTTTCTCTTCAGATTGTTCCTCATGTGGTTAATTTGGTTCACTCTTTCAAAAGCGATGGCCTGCCTTCTAGTACAGCCTTCTTATTGCAGTTAACAGAATTAATACACTGTATGATGTATCATTATTCTGGATTTCCAGATCTCTATGAATCCATTCTGGAGGCAATAAAGGTATGATGATAGTTGTACTAATATTTACAGAGTTGCAGAGCATGATGTGATAGATAAATGCAGTGAAACATTTCTATAATTAACTAGTCAATTATTTATTTTTTGGTGCTATGCTTTTTTTTTTTGAAAAATACAGTTAGAATCAGATTTCATTAATGTTTAGGAGTGTATCTCTTTCTTACTTGCTATTACCATTATAAATTAATAATGATGTTTCTTCAGGTCTGCAGTGCTGTTATTTATAGGGCATATCTTTAAATTTATAGCAACCATTGGAGAATATTTTTTAAATGCTGGATCAGTTGAATATATGTGTATATACATATGTTTGTGTGTGTGTGTGCGTGTGTATCAGGTTTGCATCCCAGTATTAAAAGTGTTAAAATATGCAGAGAACAGGGGCCACTGCTGTGGCATAACTGGTAAAGCTGCCACCTGCAGTGCTGGCATCCCATATGGGTACCAGTTCGAGACCTGGCTGCTCCACTTCCAATCCAGCTCTCTGCTATGACCTGGGAAAGCAGTAGAAGATGGCCCAAGAAGGAGCTTCTGGTTCCTGGCTTCAGATTGGCCTAGCTCCGGCTGTTGCATCCATTTAGGGAGTGAACCAGTGGATGGAAGACCTCTCTGCCTCTGCCTCTGCCTCTGCCTCTCTGTAACTCTGCCTTTCAAATAAATAAATAAATCTTTAAAAAAATAAATCAAATAAAATATGCAAAGTACAAATTAGAATCAAGGAAATATAATTAAATAAAATATTTTGATTCCTTCCCCATTTTTTATTCTATTTTTGCCATGTACTATTCATAGATGTCCATATTTGGTCAAATCTTTACTTGAATTATTTGGAGTTACCCTGTTTTTCAACTTTATATAGACAATGGATCCAGAAAAGCATTGATCCTAATTTTTTGAAGAATGGGTCTCAGTAAGCACAATTTCCTGTTAGTTAACTTACCATATAATCAGGATATAGCAGAATAGCAAATTTAACTCAGCTAGGCTTAATTAGCTCCTAGAAGAAGCAAAAGACTCACTCAGCCCAGAGAATGCACTTCTTACTAACTGTCAACAAAGAACAACCTGAAGATTAAAATTCCTTCATAAAATATTTTTTTCAAATATTTATTTACTTGAGAGGCAGAGTTACAGACAGAGGGAGAGACAGAGAGAAAGGGCTTCCATCCACTGGTTCACTCCCCAAATGGCTGCAGGGGTCAGAGCTGTGCTGATCTGAAGCCAAGAGCCAGGAACTTCTTCCAGGTATCCCGCATGGATGCAGGAGCCCAGGCATCTTGCATTGCTTTCCCAGACCATGAGCAGAGAGCTGGATCAGAAGGGGAGCAGCCAGGGCTGGAGCTGGTGCCCATATGGGATGCCAGCACTGCATCAGCCCCAAAATGTTTGTTTTCTAAGGTCCAAGTACCAGATAGTGTTAGCAATCTGGAAAAGCCTAAATGCTTTTATCTGTTTTCCTTATTCACAAGTGCTCTACTTATGCTTAAAACTGTCTGCATTAAAAACTTAATCTCATTCTTCACAAAGCTGATCGGAAGAATCTATGTGTTGTAATAATTTTCTATATGATTAAACGTGAGATCGAGTTGTATTTTTCAGAAGCATGGGTCATTGTGTTTAGATGCTTTCATTTTTAACCCCCTAATTACTTTGAGCTTTTATTTCTGAGGATTAACTGAGTAAATATTCTTATTTTCATTATGAAATGTGAAATCAATATGTTCTTAATTCAATTATATGCTAGATTAAAACCCTCATTCTACTGTCTTTAAATAGCACTACAGTATATTCTCTGATCTCAAAAGTTCTGCTTTATAGACATTTTTCTCTCAAACAGATTACATAAATAGTTCAAATGTGTCTTGAATTCCTGGTTCTTGAGTATTAAACTTGTTAAAACTCTTCCTTTTGGAGATATTTATTTTTGCCATGTGCAGTGTAGTTTGATGTTTTATTTTGTCAGTATTATCAAAAGTAACTGTGAGAAAAGAAAGCTTAAATCTCAATAGAAAAATCTTTATGATGTTAATTTTACTTTACTTTTAAAAACTTTTTCTCTGTGATATATAGGACTTTCCTAAGCCCAGTGAAGAGAAGATTAAGTTGATTCTCAATCAAAGTGCCTGGACTTCTCAATCCAATTCTTTGGCATCTTGCTTGTCTAGACTTTCTGGAAAATCTGAAACTGGGAAAACTGGTCTTATTAACTTAGGAAATACGTGTTATATGAATAGTGTTATACAAGCATTGTTTATGGCCACAGAGTAAGTTTAAATTTGAACCTTTCATTTTAAGTTATGCTGATGAACTATAAAATCTTGGAATTGTTTATACATTATTTCTTACACATGACATAAATGTTAATGTTTCCATATAATTGCCTTATTCAGAGTGAAACTTTGTGATCAGGAATTTCTATCAGTTTTTGTATTTAGATGTCAAAACTTTTTAGGATTTATTTATTTATTTGAAAGGCAGAATGACAGAAAGACTTAGAGATCTTCCATGCACTGGTTCATGCAGGCAGGAGCCAGGAATTCCTGGCAGGAACTCAGGTACTTGAGCCATCATCCTTTGCTTCCCAGGTGTACCAACAGGGAATTGTATCAGAAGCAGAGGAGCCAGGACTCAAACCAGCACTCCTATTAAGGATATGGGCATTCAGAGCAGCATCTTTTTTTTTTTTTTTTTTAGGATTTTATTTATTTATTTGAGATGTAGAGTTAAAGAAAGGGAAAGATAGAGAGAATGGTCTTCCATCCACTGTTCACTCCCCAAATGGCCCCAACGCCCAGAGCTGGGCCTATCCAAAGCCAGGAGTCAGGAGCTTCTTCCAGGTCTCCCACACGGGTGCCAGGGCCCAGGTGCTTGTGCCTTTTCCTGCTCTCCCAGGCCATAGCAGAGAGCTGGATCAGAAGAGAAACAGCTAGGACTCATACTGGTGCCTACATGGGATGCTGGTGCCGCAGTCAGAGATTTAGCCCACCATGCCATAGCCCCCTAAAACAGCATCTAACCTGCTGCACCATAACACCTGTCCCGTGACTGTTTAAAATTTTTGTGAGTTGAATTTTAGTAGTGTAACTGAGGGATTGATTGAGCCTATTCCAAAGAGTTTTAAATCCTTTTCTATTATTCCATACTTCTTTTCTATTATTCCATAAGACAGTGTGTTTTTTTAACCTGTATATGTTTTGAGGGGATCATATTTTAGTTTTATCAGCTTAGAGGTATTTTGCTCTTTATGAGATCAAGCTGTTTTTTGCTGCTTAAAGAAGTTTGGGTTCTGCTTGAGAACCAAGATGATAGTTATTGAACAACGTATAAAGAGAGATGTTCTTTTGCCCTGTTATGAGTTTACTTTCAAATCCATTTTCTTTTGCAGGCAAGCGAATAGGAAGTCAGAGCGTATTATTATGCTGTCTATGAAGACACAAACTGATGATAAGTTTTTCTAGAAGGCAAAATTTTTCTCCTTAGTATTTGTGGAATTTGCCCAAAGATGTTTACAAATTGAGTGTCAAGCTTTTATAAATTCTTACGCCTGCCTAGAGGAAACATAAACTGTTAGATGTAGAATTAGTTTTATTGTATTGTTTACCTCAGATTATACCATCAGCACTAAGGTGTTTTTGGTTTGGTTTAGTGTTCTGTCTTAATTTGCTTGTATTTGGTTTTTTGTTTTTAAGAAATAATATACTATTAGACATAGTGTTACTAGGCTTAAGACTGAAAAAATCCGTATCTCACCACCAGAGGTCATCTGTTTCAGCTATCTCATTTTACAATTACAGGGAAAAGCTGAGATCCAAAGCAGTTGTAACTGGCAAGAACAATTTGAAGATCATATCTTATTGTATAGTAATAATACCGTCTTAGAGTAGAAAGACAGTATATTTTTTTTCTTAGGTGATACATGAATTCTTTTTCATGGCTTACAAGAAAAATCTAGAATAACATAGCCAAAAAATCAAAGGGAATCTGTTAACAAATTTGTGTGCCTTGTTCCAGTCCTTTTGTGTGTGTTTGTGTGTAGAAGTTGTATGTTCCCGGCTGGCGCCATGGCTCAATAGGCTAATCCTCCGCCTTGCGGCGCCGGCACACCGGGTTCTAGTCCTGGTCAGGGCACCAGATTCTGTCCCTGTTGCCCCTCTTCCAGGCCAGCTCTCTGCTGTGGCCAGGGAGTGCAGTGGAGGATGGCCCAAGTCCTTGGGCCCTGCACCCCATGGGAGACCAGGATAAGTACCTGGCTCCTGCCTTCAGATCAGCGCGGTGTGCTGGCCACAGCGCGCTGGCCGCGGCGGCCATTGGAGGGTGAACCAACGGCAAAAGGAAGACCTTTCTCTCTGTCTCTCTCTCTCACTGTCCACTCTGCCTGTCAAAAAAAAAAAAAAAAAAAAGAAGTTGTATGTTCCCATCTAATACGAAAACAAATGCATTGTTTTTTTACAAAATATTTGCAGGGAATTCTATTTGTATATTCTTTTCCAACCACTTCTTTTTATCATTTAATAATTTATGTTGAAAATATTCCAATGTTAGAGAAATACACATCTATCTCATTCTAGGTACATGGGTGTCCTAGGCTTTATTTAACTGTACTCTTTTTGAATACTAGATTGTGTGGCTCTCTGCCCATATACAGATATAATTTTTTTAATAGAGTATGCCAGATTGCTCTCCAGAAAAGCAGTAGTATGACCCCCATACAGCAGTACTTGATATGATCAGTCTTAAATTTCATCTAATATAAAATATCTTTTTGTTTTAACTTATATACTGCTAACCATTGTAGGTTTTTCTCTGTTCATTTGTGTTTTCCTTCTAAATGAGCTGTTCTTTGTTCATCTTTCTGTTGTATCTTTTCCTTTCTCATGTTCATTTACATATATTCCAGATGATAATCCTGTTACATTGCTTTCCTGCAGTCATGTGATTCAAAATTGTGGAGTACTCTATTTATAATCTTTTATTTTGTGTAGACATTTCTCCCATTTTTCAGTTATAGCATATGAATTTTAGAAAGCCTTCTTTCTCTAAATTTCCCCTTCTTTTTCTTTGAAATACCTGAGTATTTTATTTTACATTTTGCTCATTATTCCTGTGTGGCATTTGTGATGATGTAAAAGCTTATCTAACCCCAGTTTTTTTTTTTCCAAATGGATACCCAATTAGCCTAAACTATTTTTAGTAGTTTATCCTTTTCCATGCTGCGTAGTACCATATTCTAAAAAACTCAAGACTTTTTAGTTATGACAGCATATTCTTTATATCATTTCCATTTGAAAGAATGGAAGTTGCTTACTGTACTTATAAATCAATAATCTTTTTCTATTGCTAATTAAGAAAATAGCATAATACATGAAAACACATAGGCCATTGCCAGGCTTACAGTGTTTGTTTATTGTCTTTCTCCTTTCTTCGTCACTGTATTATTGGTAAGTACCTTTGTTAGGTTAAGGATCATCACATAAGTGAAGTTTTACTTTGAAGACAGGGAGTTCATGAGCTAACTTCCTATTAGCTCTGTTAAAAATACATGTGTGTATATATACATATATATATATATAAATTATTATATCTTATTCTCTTTCAGCTTCAGGAGACAAGTATTATCTTTAAATCTAAATGGGTGCAATTCATTAATGAAAAAATTACAGCACCTTTTTGCCTTTCTGGCTCATACACAGGTGAGTGTATCTGTGTAGTATGTATATGTGGTCATTGATAATTGTCTATAAACTTCACATTGTACCAAACCTTTTTAACTGGTATCAATCAGACCTCATAACAAGAGAGCTTAACTAAAGTTCTATCACAATTGAGACTCTGGTATCAGAACCACAAGGATAATTTTGTGTGGGTACATGTCCTATATAATCGAAGTCTTTTTTCCTTATAATTAATAAGCTAGCATTTATTGAACATTTAAATTTTTCTAGTCCCTGTGCTGTCTTTTATCTCATAATCCTCAAAACAATCTTACCAGATAATACAGCATATCCCATTTTATTGAAGAAATGGCCTAAGTTACAACTCAGGGTCATGTAGACAAGCAGCAGGATCAGAATGTGACCCAAATGGCTCTGAAGCCCATGCTCAACAAGTATGCTAACCTTTCTTCCTTCTTAAATGCTATAGACAGATTGAGTTAAAGGGTTTTTTTTAACTAAAGACTACATTGTTTTATGCCACAAATAGTGAAAATATTAGAATTTCAATTTTCAAATTATAATCACATCTTATCGTTTGTTATGGCAAAATGTAAACGTTGTACCTGGATTACTCTGGAGTCCATTATCAACCAATAGACTAACCTGCCTTTCTACTTAAACACAAAATCAGTAAGATCCCTAATGATGTTCACATTCTGCACATTTATTACATGAACCCAGTCAAGGAAATTTTTGCCTGAAAGAGGGTATGCATGACTATCTTTTTCAGATTTAATTTTTCAAAAAGTTATAAACTCAAATACATGACTGTCATGGACAGATAATATCAGGAGCTATTATATCAAGAGTTAGACCTGTATTCTATTGTAATCCTTCATTAAACATAGATTAAGATTTCAGTTACTTGGTTCATTCTGTGAGAATAATTTCTTGCATTTTTTCTACCACCATCAAAAGAGGGAAGCATATGCACCTCGGATATTTTTCGAGGCTTCCAGACCTCCGTGGTTTACTCCCAGGTCACAGCAAGACTGTTCTGAATACCTCAGGTTTCTGCTAGACAGGTAAAAAGTGTTTTCTTTTAAGTTATGATTTAAACTGTGTCTTCTAATAACAGTTTATTTCTACTAAATATTGTTACTACCTTTAAAAAACATATTTCAAGTGTTGATCTTTAAAACACCCTTGCATCTATTGTATATTTTCCTTTCGTTTTTCCTTTGATTTCTTTTCAGATTTTCTGTAGGCTAACAATTCTCAAAGGACCCCTAAGGTTTTCCAAAACACCCTCAGAAGTCTGTGAGGTCTTCTGTCTTCCAGCTACATATCTGTGGGAAGCCAGACTTTCTTCACATACTTCATCCAGAAAAACATAGCAATAGATAAAGTGCAGAGCAGATAGGAGAATCCAGTTGTCTTCTATTAAGCCAGATATTTAAAATATTTGCAAAATAAAACAGTACCATTCTTCTTGCCAATTATTTATTTTAGAAGTTATAACTTTTTCATTTAGCTGTTATTTACAGTAGCATGTGGTAGGTTTATTAATTTTTAAATGTAATATTTTACTTTTATCCTTAGTTTGTGAGTCCAGTAACTATCAAATAGGTATAAGTTCTTGGGTTCCTCAGTTGTTTTTATAAAGGGGCCTTGGGACCAGAGAGCTAAGAGCTGCTGCTTTGGACCAATCTATAACTGTGAGTTTGGCATATTTTACTGTCTCCTTACCTTAATTAGTAATACTTACTATCCATATCTTCCTGTCTGCTCTCTTCTATTATTTGAATGACAGATAAAGTTAATTGGGCTTACCATGTACCACCTTTTCTTTAATTCAGCTAAGGATATCTTCAGAGGTTTCTTTGTCCCAGACTTTTCTATGAGATGCCAGACAGACAAAAATAAATAAGATAATAATTAAAGGAACTATGCAAGTATAATGAGCTATAATAAGTATTATAAAATGTACTGTAAGAAGATAGGAGAATATAGACTAGTAATAGCCCCTTAACTTCTTTTCTTTATTATCAAACTACTGTTATTCTCAACTATAACAGGAGAAACTTGATTTTTTAAAATTAAGCATTATATTTGTTGAAAGTAATTTGACTGCTTTTATAATTAGAAATTTATAATTTTTTAAATAGAAATGAAATTTAAACTTAAGTGAATTAGCTATATAATGATACACTCTCCTGCAGGCTCCATGAAGAAGAAAAGATATTGAGAGTTCAGTCCTTGCACAAGTCTTCTGAAAGCCTGGGGTGCACTGAAACTTCTTTACAGGAAGTAGTCAGTAAGGCAGCTGCACTAACAGAGACCCCTTGCACAAGTGACGGTGAGAAGACTTTAATAGAAAAAATGTTTGGAGGAAAGCTACAAACTCATATACGTTGTTTGAACTGCCGGAGTACCTCACAAAAAGTGGAAGCCTTTACAGATCTTTCGCTTGCCTTTTGTCCTTCCTCTTCTGTGGAGAACTTGTCTTTCCAAGACCTAGCATCATCACCTGATGTACAAGACAATGGCCTGCTCCGCACCATTGTATCTGGTCATTCAGAAGAACCAGTGGTGTATAATCCAGCAACAGCTGCCTTTGTCCATGATTCAGTTGTGAATGAAAGAACGATACACAGTCCTCCTGATGAGTTTCACTGTACTGAGAACACTTCTGTACCCAATGAATCTAACAAGATTCTTGTTAATAAAGATGTACCTCAGAAACCAGGAGGTGAAACCACACCTTCAGTAACTGACTTGCTAAATTATTTTTTGGCTCCAGAGATTCTTACTGATGACAACCAATATTATTGTGAAAACTGTGCCTCTCTGCAGAATGCTGAGAAAACTATGCAAATCACAGAGGAACCTGAATACCTTATTCTTACTCTCCTGAGATTTTCATATGATCAAAAGTATCATGTGAGAAGAAAAATTTTAGACAATGTGTCACTGCCACTGGTTTTGGAGTTGCCAGTTAAAAGAACTACTTCTTTCTCTTCATTGTCAGAAAGTTGGTCTGTAGATGTTGACTTCACTGACATTAGTGAGAACCTAGCTAAGAAATTGAAGCCTTCTGGAACTGAAGATGCTTGCTGCCCCAAACTGGTGCCCTATCTATTAAGTTCTGTTGTTGTTCACTCTGGTGTGTCCTCTGAGAGTGGGCATTACTATTCTTATGCCAGAAACATCACAGGCACGGAGTCCACATACCAGATGTGCCACCAGTCTGAAACTCTGGCCTTAGCATCCTCCCAGAGTCATTTATTAGGGAGAGAGAGTCCCAGTGCAATCTTTGAACAGGATTTGGAAAATAAGGAAATGTCAAAAGAATGGTTTTTATTTAATGACAGCAGAGTGACATTTACTTCATTTCAGTCAGTCCAGAAAATCACAAGTAGGTTTCCAAAGGACACAGCATATGTGCTTTTGTATAAAAAACAGAATAGCACTAATGGTTTAAGTGGTAATAATCCAACCAGTGGACTTTGGGTAAATGGAGACCCACCTCTACAGAAGGAACTTATGGATGCTATAACAAAAGACAATAAACTATATTTGCAGGTAAGTTGCAATGCTAGCTTCATTATTTGTGGAAAATATTAAACAGTTGAAAAGTGGTTAAATTAGTACCCTAATTTTAAAATGTAACTTATGCATTTTTAAGGCATTGTGAAACTTTTTTCCAAGATTTTATTTGAAAAGCAGAGTTAAAGAGACAAAGGGAGGGAGCAACAAAAAGAGAAATCTTCCATCTGGTTCACTCCCCAAATGGCCACAATGGCTAGGACCCGGTCAGACTAAAGACAGGAGCCAAGAACTTCTTCCATGTCTCCTGTGTGGGTGCAGGAGCCCAAGCACTTGGGCCATCTTCTGCTGCTTTTCCCAAGCCACTAGCATGGAGCTGTATCAGAAGTGGAGAAGTTGGAACATGAACCGGCACCAATATAGGATGCTAGCATCACAGGCAGCAGCTTAGCCTGCTAAGCCACAACGACTGCCCAGAATTCTGAAACTTGAGTCAGGATTTATATGAAATGGACATTACCTCTATAAATTGTCTTTGAGGCACTGTGAAAGAACTATGAAAAGTGCTAAGTAGATGCAATATAGATTTGTTTTTAATTATAAAAGATGTGCTCACTACAAAATCATACCATACAGAAATTCAGAAAGCATAATAAAATGGAAATATCCATCTCACCTTCCCCTCAGTCCTACCCACCCTGAGAAACTGCTGAATTTGCCATTTATTCCTGTAAGACATTTGTGTAAATACTTTTTTAAAGATTTACTTATTTATCATTTGAAAGGCAGAGTTACAGAGAGGTCTTCCATCCACTGGTTCACTCCCCAAATCGCTGCAACGGCTGGGGCTGGGCCAGTCCAAAGCCAGGAGCCAATAGCTTCTTCCAGATCTCCTACATGGGTGCAGAGGCCCCAAGGACTTAGGCCATCTTCCTCTGCTTCCCCAGGCCATAGCAGAGAGCTGGATCAAAAGTAGAGCAGTTCGGACTAGAACCAGCACCCATATGGAATGCCGGTCCCACAGATAGCAACTTTACCTGCTACGCCACAGTGTGAGCCCCCCTTTGTGTTAATATTTTAAGGGATGTTTAAGAATGAAGAATATGAAGAAAACTAAGGACAATATGTAAAGAAAAGATTTTTGTACTCTTTAAGGATCTGGACAATAAAACCAAGGAGATGATAATTACTAAATAAAAGCCATGGAATAAAAGCTCCATGTGAAATGAAAGACTACTTTCTTCAAGGATTTATTGATTTTATTTAAAGTCACAAAAAGTCTTGCTGAAAGTATTTTTACTTTGAATCCTCCCAACTTAACTATCAATATAAAATACCAGCAGGTAAAATTAGAGAAATGGAAATTATAGGCAAATTAATTCGATAGTTCAAATGATTTCATGGTCATAAAGTTCCTAAGGGATACATATTGAATAAGAAAACAGCATTGAAATAACCACTTGGGACACCCACATCCTGTATCAGAATGCCTGTTTTGAGTTCCAGCTACTCCACTTCCCATCTAGCTTCATGCTAATGTGTACTCTGAATGGCAGCAAATAATAGTTCAGTTAGTTGAATCCCTGCCAGGAGACCCAAATTGAGTTCTCGGCTCCTGTCTTCATCCTGGCCCAGCCTGGACTATTAGACTATTGAGGATTTGGGGAGTGAACCAATGGATGGAAAATCAATACCTCTTTCTTTCTCTCTTTCTCTCTCTCTCTCTCTCTCTCACTCACTTTCAAATAAAATGAAAATTAATAAATATTTTTTAAAGAACAAATAGGGGCTGCCATTGTGGTGTAGCAAGTAAAGCTGTCGCCTGCAACATTGGTATCCCATATGGGCACTGGTGAGAAACCCAAGCTCTTGACTCCATTGTAACCCAGCCCTGCCCATTGCAGCCATCTAGGGAGTGATTCAGCAGATGGAAGATCTCTTTGTCTCTCCTCCTTTCTCCGTGTAACTCTTGACTTTCAAATAAGTAATTAAATCTTTAAAAGATGTTTTTAAAATAAAAAATCAGTGGCCCACTATGTTATGATTTTTATGGAAGATTTCTCAAAAGCTATCAGATTTGCTATATTTTAAATACCCAAATAAAAAACGCATGATAGATTCTCTTTTAAATTTATTTATTTGAAAGGCAGAGTTACAAAGAGAGGGAGAGACAAACAGAGAGACATCTTCTATCCACTGGTTCACTTCCCAAATGGTCATAACAGCCAAGAGCTAGGTGCTTCATCTAGATCTCCCACATTCATGCAGGGGCCCAAACACAGGAGCCAACTTCTGCTGCTTCCCCAGGCACATTAGCAGGAAGCTGGATCCAAACTGGAGCACCTGAGACACAAACCAGCACCCATATGGGATATCAGCATTGTAGGCAGCAACTTAACCCTATGCCACACCAGCCTGATTTTTGAAGGAATATATCAATATTTAGGAGTGACACAAAGGGGCCAGTGTTTGGCACAGCAGTCAAGCAAATGCTTAAGACACTCGTATGCCATATTGGAAAGCCTGGGTTTAAGTTGTAGCTATACTCACCGCTCCAGCACGCTGCTAGTGCACACCCTGGGAGGTAGCAGATGATGGGTTAAGTAGTTGGATCCCTGCCGCCCATTTGGGAGACCCAAATTCAGTTCCTAATTCATGGCTTGAGCCTGGCCCAGACCCATCCCCAGCTGGTGTGGACATTTAAGAAGTGAACCAGTGGGTGGGAGATCTCTCTGCCTTTGAAATAAATAAGGTGATACAAAAACAAGAATTAGAGAAAAATGAAATTCAGAATTTTGTTAGAACTGACTCACGACCAAAGACTCTTTAATACCTAATAGATGGCTTATAATCGTAGTAAAAATAGGATTTACTTAACCATGCCCTTACTACTAGATCATACAAACACTAATTATTAGTCATAATTCTTGACAATTGGAGAGATGAAATGAGAAGAGGATTAATTTGAAAGAAAATTTCTGTGATATAAAATACAAAGCCTAGTGGAACCTTGACTTTTTTGGAAATAATGCAGCAGATTACTTACATCAACGATTGGGTGAAATACTTAAAAATGAAATATAAGGATTTTGAAAGGCAAAAAAACTAATTTCTGCAGTTGGAATGCCAAACACTTTTATAACCATAATAATTATTTGTATTACAGTGTCACTCTAAATAATTTTACAATTCCATTTACTACATCCTGATTACACCGGACAATATATACAATATTTGAGCATGAGAAGCCATTCTTTTCATTGTTTTTTTAAAGCATGTATATAAAAAAGCATTGTATACTTTGTGAATAAAGTTTTTCAGTGTTGTGCAAATGTTTTAAATGTCAGAATGACAATTTGCTTAATGCAAAAAACATGTTATCAAATATCTTTAGCCCATTTGGTGCATATCATAGTAACTGCTGTCTTGTTTAATACCTCGTAATCAATTAGAAACTCAGAAGCTTTTTTTGAGGATTCCATTTTTTTATGGCAAGAAGTTCATTAACAGCTGTATTCCAGTCATTTCTGACAGCAACCTAAAAATTCCAATTTAAGAATGAAGCAAATGTGAGGCATTGTATTGCACATAAACATATTTTTACAATTGGGATGATTATATTCATCATTAGGTGTTCTTTAAATGAAAAGAAATAATGGATATAAATATCAGCTCTAATTGTAACAATTTGTAGTATTTTATCTTCTGTGTCTGATCTATATGTTTAATGTATTTTATACTGTCACATTGTGATAGCAATTTTTTTTACCTAGAAACCTTTCATTTCTAGGTAAAAAAAAACAAACTTATGCATTTCATATATACAAATTTGGGAACGTAGTAATTCTTCCCACAGTGATTCTTCCCACCCTACCCTCCTCCAGCCCACATTCCCACCCTTCTTCTGCCTCTTCTATTCCCATTCTTATTTTTTACAAAGATCTATTTTCAATTAATTTTATACTCATGATGAATCCTACACTAAGAGTTAAATAAGTAATATGAAAAAAATGTTCAACAGTCGAGATACGGGCTGTTCAAAATCATCACATCTCAAAGTGTCAGTTTCACTTCTATAGATTACCTTTTAGGGTCTGTATTAGAAAAAAGTATGCCTTTGGTTAGAATTCATGAAAGATTGTGTAAGTACCAACACCATTGCTTTGTGAAGGTCACCACCTCATCTCTTCTGAGTCAGCCCACAGACAGAACCTTCTGGCTCTTATTGCTTTATCTATTTCCTTTCTTTGGAGGAGGTGGTAGTTTAATTTCTTAACTTTTTTGTTATACATATAGAACAGTACAAACAATAATTGAGGGCAATTCAGAAAGTTTGGAGAAAGATAGAATTAAAAGATTATTTTGGTGCAAAAATTTTGAAATCCATGCACAACTTTTTCATAATATGCTTTTTCCATGAACTGTCTGAAGGCCACTCCTATATGTGCAGTTTTTAAAAAAATTCATTTAATGTCAATAGCATTACCTAAATAAAAAGTCTAAATACTCGAAGTTATTTGTCTCAAAACATCAGTAGCACCTTACTGTGACTAGACCTATAGTCTACAAGTAAAATTAGAATTCATTTTAAAATTTGACATAGTTTTGTGATTTAAATTACATATGCTATGAGAATCCTAATTTTGACAATGTATACAATGTTGTTCCCATCTATATTAAAACACTGTTTAATACATGTTTAAGCTCAACTTCTGAAAACAATGCTACAATTTTTTTCTGTCAGTCATATATGTATATAAATAGATAATAGAACAAAAATTTGCTTTCATAGGAAGCTCTGTATCTTAAAATAGAAATGTCATGGGTAGCAGAAACAATGAAATTATTAATTTTATATTCTATGACTCTTTCAACACAGCTTCTGGGAATGAATCACTTCATAGCAAAGTCTAGGTAAAAATTGCCATAGCTTCTGAGAGCAAAACGTGCTGAGCTCTACCACACATTTTCATTCAATTTTAAATCATTAGGGAACATCTATATCTACAACTAAATATTGTTTCTTAAATACAGAGTAATAATTTCATTGCCTGTGTGGATCATTTAATAGTATAGAATGTAACTAGGATTTTGCTGTTTATTTTTGTATCTGTTTCTAACATATATATTTCTAATATATATATGTAACTTATTTCATACCTGTGAAGCATTTATAATTTTTGCTTTAATTTTATAGATTGAATAAGTTTGTGTGTGTGTGTGTGTGTGTGTGTGATAGCTGAAACATACTGTGTAGGTAGATATTACACAAGGGGATAAAAATTATAAACATTGTAAATGACATAGTAGATGAAAAGTATTTTCAAGAAATATCTCACAAATTAATTTTTAAAAGCCCTATCAGAGACTAAGTAGGCCATAATGTTACAAGAATTTCTTATCAAAGTTTCCTTTAAGCCACAAAAGTAATCTGGGTCATTTTGTGTTTTGAGAGTTACACAAGCACTTGCTGGATACACTACTGAGAAGTAAGTTGTCCATAATGTGAAGAATAGAAGTCAGCCTGGTTTTTCTCCTCCATATTGAAAAGTTGATCATCTTGTAAAGGGAGGAGGATAGTTAACTAAAACATTTAGCAAGAAGTTTTAAAGTTACTAGATGTTGATCATCTTGTAAAGGGAGGAGGATAGTTAACTAAAACATTTAGCAGGAAGTTTTACGTTACTAGATGGAGCAAAGTCACAGGAAAATTTTAAATAATTAAATTTTTAATTAATTTATTGTTTGAGAGGCAGAATGAGACAGAGCTTCCATCTACTGGTTCACTCCCCAGATGCCTGCAATGGCTGGGGCTGGGCCAGTACCAAAAGTGGCAGCCAGGAACACAATCCAGGTCTCTCAGATGGTAGGAACCCAATTACTTGAGCCCATTACTGAAGGTCTATCTTTGGGGGAATATGGGGTTAGGAGCTGAAGCCAGTAATCAAATCCATGTACTCCAGTGTGGAATGTAGGTATCTTAACCACTGAGCTACACATCGGCTCCCTGATTTTTGCTATTAAAGCTAACTGTATTTTGAAAATTCTTCAAGATGATTTTGCTAACAAGGGTTATGCAGTTGGCAGTGGCTTTTAGACTTTATTGTAACCGATCACATATCCCAGAAAAATGGGAACATACCAGAATAGTCTGCATATGCTATCAAGGAGTTTGTAGCCCCCTCCCCCTGTTTTAGAATCCAGTTTTACACCTTGCCAGATATATAGGCCATTATTTATTGTTCCTTTGAAGCTAAATACCTAATCTGTAATCTGAGACCACTAATACTGAGTATCTAATACGTGCCTACCATATACATAAATATGACTATAATAAAGTTGTAATACTCTGATAGAGGAAAGTTGTCAGTGCTACTATAAGGGAATAGGCTTTACTTCTCTGTATTTTTTTAGATATGTCTTAATATTTATTGAGGAATAAAAAAAGGAAAGCGTAGAAAGAATTCAGGCTTCTTCCCCTTATATATTTTACTACAATCACTTCCAAAATAGCTTCAGTTGATGAAGAGTTGATATTCCATTTTGATATTTATGTTCTGTGTTATACATGAAATCCATTCTTAAATGTATTAGAGAGTATTACAGTAGCCATAATATTTTCTGAGAGTTTATAATTTAAGGTCTTCATTTTCTCTGAACACTTGGGATGTGAGAAACAGAGTAACTTTTAGGATCTATCACTGTGGAGAGTTTACGTCAGGATTCTGTTCTCTATCTCTTTTGCTCCAAAGGTGATCATATGTACCTAAGTAGGATTTGGTAAGGTTTGATGTCAGTACTTTTAATGTTACTGCTTTGAAGTATGCTTATTAAAGATTAAAGCAGTTTTTAAACACTTGTATAGGTAGTATATCCATCCATTGTATTTACATTTTAATTTCATAAACAATTTTTTAATTTTAGGAACAAGAGTTGAATGCTCGAGCCCGGGCCCTACAAGCTGCATCTGCCTCCTGTTCTTTTCGGCCCAATGGATTTGATGACAATGACCCACCAGGAAGCTGTGGACCAACTGGTGGAGGGGGTGGAGGAGGATTTAATACAGTTGGCAGACTCGTATTTTGATGCTGAGAGAGTCCAAAATGCACTGGTCACAAAATATCCAATACTATGACTGTTAAAATGTCATACTGTAACAAATATCATTATCTATCATATTTTTTTTTTGTTTTCATTAGACCCTTATACTTTTAAGAAAACACACTCAGTGCTTGTTTTTATTTTCTTAACAATACATTTATCAACAAATGCATCATGGGAAAAAATCTACCTCTTAAAATTCCATTTGCTTTTATGGTTAGACATGCTTGACCAAAAATGTTTGGAGTAAAATATGTACCTAGTCCCTAATTAAGCTGCATTAAATCTGGTAGAAGCATTTAAATGGTTACCCTCAGTTTTACTGGACAAAAATACATAATTCGTTTAGCATTCTTTATAAAGTAATTGATACTAGAGGTGAGGAAAAATTGCTAAAAATGTTTTTATTTTCAACGTAGTTACCCCATTATTAAATTCAAGTTTTTTAAAATACTGGAGACGGCACAGTCTCTAATGAAGGCAATAATTTTAACATAAAATCTATCAAGCTATAGTACTTCAAGGGTTTTTTTTAGCACTGTCTTCAGCATCACTGTATCTGCATTTCAAATGCAAATGTTAAAAAAGATTATTTATACAAATGTGGTGAATGAATTGATTTTAAGAAAGGTGCATGATCCTGTAGGAGCAATGTTTTTACCTAAATATTGCTAATTCTGTAGTATTTCTAATTGTTCACAGATTTTAAAATTCTATTTCAGGGAGTATATCTTCTGTGTGTTTTGAAGGAGGTGAGTTCTGTATGTGCCTTGTAGTACTGTAATTCAAAAATAGGAAACTTTGGCTGCAGAAACTTTTTTAAAAATGAAATGTTAGGAAGTAAATTTTGTGCTAACAATAAAATTATAACTTTTGAAAGGTATTAGATTTTCCAGAAGTAAAGTCAAATCAGTAAGTGTGATAGTTCATTTTTAACTTTTAGGAAAATTCAGAGGAAATGAACCTAGTTAAGTAAAAAAGAAAAAAAGAAAAAACGTTTTTGATTTTGTTACTTAATCCTCAGAATATTAAACACTGATTGCATATTTTCAGAGTTCTACATTTGGGGAATTTGTTTGTTTGAGTCATATGTTTTACATAGTTGTTTCTCTTTCATAGTTTCTGATAAAATGTTAAAATGCCAGACCCTATGGTCCTGAATTTTCTTTTGTCAGGAAATGAAACATGTCAGTTCTCCTGGGTCTTGATTATCCAGCACAAGAGTTATCCGAACTATCCCCCTTCCTAAAGGTTTCAACTTATCCATGGTTGTTCATTGTTCTGAAGATTGGTCTCATATTTATTTTGAAAACATTTTAAGGAAAGAATGTTCTTTGGTGATTTGGAGTTTATCTTTTTCCCAAGCTTTTATGGCAGTGGTTAAAAACAGAACTCCCATCTTCATTCCACTACCTCGCACTCCTAACACTTTCAGTCACCAGATTGATTAGGAAAATGGATTGGATTGAAAACCGGAAATTCTTTGCAGAGTTAATTGAGAATCTTCTTCCCAACTAATGAATGACCCAGAGGGATTTTTATCAAGCATTCCTGTGGGATTCCTCTTGTCCTAATAATGAATTAGTAAGCTACCCTTTTTAATTAGTTATCCACGGATCAGATAGTGATTTATAATCAGATTATATCCATTTTAGCTTTTATTAAAATTGGTGAAGTCATGTAATTACTCATGGATATTAGGCTAAGATACTTCTTGGAACCTCCATAAAGGTAACTAGATTTACACAATTTTATCTATAAATATGTTTTTCATGGTGTATATATGTTGAGATAATATACATTGAATTTTCAAAATGACAATAAAAAGATGAAATTCTAGTTATACAAATACTGAGGCTATTTAAATTATAATTTGACATGGTGAGTTTTAAGATTAAAAAATACTAACATGAATTTTATTTGCTAATTGGAATCAGAATAATGAGCTTCATTTAAAAATCCATCCAACTAAACTGAACTTTTTAAATAAGGTAGTCTTTTGATTGCTCTGATCCTGACAGATCCCTGTTACTTAATTTCTACATTATTTAAGATATTTTCTTTCTCCCATATTTCTAACTCTTCTGTTTACATCTTGCAAATGTTCTTATGAAGTCTGACTCTTAAGGCTAACTAGTGTACCCATGCTATTTTTCTTTCACTCAGTCCAAGATACCCAGCTTAAATGAAGTTGCTTGTTGCTGTTGAAAACAGTACATTAGGTTCCACTACTAAGAGAAAAGTAGAATTCTTTTTCAGAGCAATATGCAATGAAAGAAATATAAGTAGTGTGGTCATATAAGCCCTGGTAAACTGTCTGCTAGCAGTTGCCTGTACAACTCTGGTTCATGGTGTTTACATATCTCTACAAGTGAGAGGAAGAATTCTAGCTCATTCTCCATTCAAGCATCTTCCCACTGCCTTTCTTCTGGCTGAATAATCAAGCAGGTAGTATAGAACTAGGGATTCCTGACTTCTGACTCCATACCTTAAGATACAAGAACTTTGGCTATAAGTCTCACAATGTCTAAAGATACTGGGAATTCTTGTGGCAGATTCAAAAAGCCTATAATATTAATTCACAGCTGGAAAGAACAAAAGTACTTCAAAACTCACTCTTAAGTCCAAATCTGTAATGTTCTCTGCTCATTTAGCTTTATTTTTATGATAATGCTACTTTAGAAAGTAGGTATCTTTTTTTCATGTACCACCTCCTTAAAGCTCTCTTCTTGCAAGAGGGAACTGGAAGCTTACTGTGTGCCCAGCTCAGTTTCAGAAAACAAAATGGGGGCCATTGCTGTGGCGTAGCGGGTGAAGCCACCGCCTGTAGTGCTGGCATCCCATGTGGGTGCCAGTTCGAGTCCTAGCTGCTCCACTTCCGATCCAGCTCTCTGCTATGGCCTGGGGAAGGAGTAGAGGATGGCCCAAGTCCTTGGGTCCCTGCACCTACATGGGAGACTCGGAAGAAGCTCCTGGCTCCTGGCTTCAGATCAGCTCAGCTCCAGCCCTTACGGCCAACTGGAGAGTGAACCAGCAGATGGAAGGCCTCTCTCTAGCTCTGCCTTTCAAATAAATAAATAAATCTTTAAAAAAAAAAAAAAAAAGGAAGAAAACAAAATGGACATAGTCTAATTACTGATACTTCATGTCAGGTCTTAATTTTCATATCTTTTCCTATTATGTATTCCTCATAATACTATATATGGAATGTTTTTACATGAGTATTTCATAGCCTATAATTCTGTAAATGTATATATAATGTTTTACTCATAAAATGCTACTCTTTTCTAAGATTTATTTTATTTATTTGAAAGGCAGAGTTAGAGATACAGAGAAAGAGAGAGCTCTTCCATCCACTGGTTCACTCGCAAAATGGTCACAACAGCCAGGACTGGGCCAGCCAGGAGCCAGGAGCTTCATCTGGGTCTCCCACATAGGTGCAGGAACCCAAGCACTTGAGCCATCTTCCACTGCTTTCCTAGGCACATTAGCAGGGAGCCAGATCAAGTGGATTAGCTCAGACTCAAACTGGCACCCATTTGGGATGCTGCATTGCAGGCAGCAACTTAACCTATTAAGCCACAATGCCAACCCCAGAGTGCTATTCCTTATATATACTTTCTCTCTCTCTTTTTTTTTTTTGGACATGCAGAGTGGACAGTGAGAGAAAGAGAGAGAGAAAGGTCTTCCTTTTCCGTTGGTTCAATGGCCGCTGCGGGCGGTGCACCACACTGATCCAAAGCCAGGAGCCAGGTGCTTCTCCTGGTCCCCCATGCGGGCGCAGGGCCCAAGGACTTGGGCCATCCTCCACTGCCTTCCTGGGCCACAGCCCAGAGCTGGCCTGGAAGAGGGGCAACTGGGACAGAATCCGGCGCCCCGACCGGGACTAGAACCCGGTGTGCCAGTGCTGCAAGGTGGAGGATTAGCCTATTGAGCCGCGGCGCCAGCCCCTTATATATAATTTCACCAGCTATTTTTTGCTAATGAGTTTAGATTTCTAAAACAATAATTCTAATGTAGAGAGGGATAAGTTAGTCACATTTTATAGAAACAGAGAATGTTAACTTTTTGATTTTGTTTATTTGACAGTTGGACAGGCAGAGCTCCCATCTGCAGGTTCACTCCTCAAATGCCTGCAATGGGAGACTGGGCCAGGGCTGTAACCAGGAGCCAGGAATAATCCAGGTCTCCCACTTGAATTTCAGGAATGTGGTTACTTGAGCTAACATTGTAGCTTCTATGGCTCCGTATTTACAAGATTTGCAGTCAGGAACCAGAAGTAGGATCAAACCCAGATACTCCACTTGGATGACAGTATCTTTACCACTACACTTAAGGTCTGCCCACAATTGATTATAACTCAGTAACATTTTCTAGAGGACTAAGACTAAATCTTGGACCATGTGATCCCATGAGAGTTAAGTGCAATAGAAAGGAAATTTGAATTAAAATGTTCCCCCAGAAAACTGAACAATCTAAAATATATTTTTTTACATATTTCTTCTTAAGCATTTGCCAAACTCAAACATCTTCAACGGTATTTTGTTTTATTTAGTTTACGTTGAGTTTTTTTTTTTTTTTTTTTTGGTATGTGAATGAACCTCAGATGAAGGAGAGAGATTTTAAAGATTCAAGGTAAACAATGATTTAAGGAAAAAAACAAGTGTGTTATAAAACTGCTGCTTTCCCTTATGAAAAGAAATTTCTATAGAAAATTTTTTCAAAGAAATGAGAAGATTTTTATAAAATCAACAATCTGGGCTTTGTGAATTCAAAAGGATTTGTTATGTAAAACCTTTACCCAATGTTACATAACTAGTGTGGATTTAACATTAAAAATAGAATCTAAGAAGTCAGCCAAGTGTGTTGCCAGCTCTCATCAGTGTCTGTTATGGCCTGCAGTTGTTTTTCTCTTAATAGATCTCATGTTTTGCTGTGTGTGCTAGATACACATACACACACTCCTACCTTGATTTCAGAAAGATGAGAAGGTTAGCCTTGCTTCCTAGATCAGTGGTTTTCAACCTTAGCTTCATGTTAAAATTGCTTGGAAAGCTTTTAAAAAATAATACCATGTACAGGCCTCATACTAGACCAACTAAATTATGTTGGGACTGGGCATGAATATTTTTTGAAGTTCCTCAAGTGATTTTAATGTGCAGCCTGTGTTGTGAACATCTAGACTAGAAAAAGGAATTTTTTTCCTAGGGCTTTTATCCAAGGGAGCTAACATATGTTGAGTTTCTACCATGTTTCTGCACATGGCAGATATTTGTCTATTGAACTTACATGAGCCCTGTAAGTGAGCTCATATCCATATCCTCCCTCACCCCTTTCTAGATAAAGAAAACAAAGACTCAGATTAATGAATGTGCTCAACATCATGTAGCTAATAAAAGTCAGAACTGAGATTTTTTTAATCCAAGTCTTCAGAACTCCAAAATCAGTGCTTCAGTGGAGAGGTAGTAACAACAAGGAAAATGTGAGCAAATTGCTGAAGCACATTACATATTAATAAAAGCTTACAATAAATTTTAGGAAATAAAATTTCTACAGTCTGTTTCACTGACCCTTTAACATTCCAAGCATGATTCCTTAAAAAAGAAAAAATGAGATCTGCTTTTATTAAAACCTATGTGGGGTAATCCACAAGGTTAGGAAGCATAGTTCTTAGCAGTCTTGTTGCACTCACTTTCTAACCGTACTGCTCCTTTCTTGCCTTTCTGTCCTTTCAGTCATACTGGACCCTGCATCATTTTTACTCAAATGACATCATCATGTCTTTACCATCTCTGGACCCTTCCATAGGCAGGTTTCATTGTAGCCTAACGTCTCCTTGCCCCACTTTCTCCTTCCTGCTTTCACTTAACTAATTCCTGCTCTCTTTCAGTATGCTCAGGTCTCTTCATATAAACCTCCCAAACTGGTTAGTCTCCACTTTTATCCTGGCTTGTGTTTTCTGTTTATCTTTGAAAAGGCTCTTGCTTATTAATAGAGCTAAATCAGCCCTAGAGTAAAGGCTAATCTCTTACACCCAACAAAGATTAAAAACAAACTTTGAAAGGATTAAATTCTGATGGTAATTTAACTGCATTTAGAACAAAGTCTTAACACTCTTTAAAGGAAAAAACAGCATTTTACAAA